ATGCGAAATCACTGAACATTCCGGAAGTTGCACATCAGGTCTCATACGAAGGTGGAATGGTCCTCAGTCTTCATGTAATACAGAGTAAAATAAGTTGCATGGTGTCATTTCTCTTTTGTTAGTTCAATGGTGTCATTTCGCACAATGATGATGAAGATGATGATGATGATATGTGGGGCTTAACGTCCCATATGATTATGAGAGACGCCGTAGTGGAGGGCTCCGGAAATTTCGACCACCTGGTGTTCTTTAACGTGCCCCCAAACCTAAGCACACGGGCCTACAACGTTCCCGCCTACATCGTAAATGCAGCCGCTGCCGGGATTCGATCCCGCGACTTGTGGGTCAGCAGCCGAGTACCTTAGCCACTAGACCACCGTGAAGGGGCAAGATAACTTTTTATACCGACGGTGATCAATGCTAAATAACCGGAACTTTTGCGCACCATTTTCGAACCAGGTTTCTATGGGCAACTGACAGATGAGCTTATTTACTGGGCATCGTGCATCGCTCATCGGTAGAGGTAGCAGTGACATATTATTCTCTTGATGAGCTGCATGTGCCATGCCATCAGCTAAGTCGTTGCCTATCATTGCGCAAGTGTTGTGCTATGTATCTATATGCATAGCCTTGTGTTTGCTACCAAATATGCGATGTCGACTTTTGTGCAAGGGGAGTAGCCGGCGCAACGTATTGACACGAACCTGTCCTTATACACATTTAATTTTAAAAAAAGTTCGAAGACCGTATGCCTATTTACGTGGCCGAACTCTCGGTTACAAAAACCCACCGCCAATACTGAAGCGTATCAAGAGATAAGGACCTCGACGCATTTTGATCGCGGTTCCCGAGTGCACCGGTATACGGCAGCTAAATGAGATCTGTCCTCGATGGCAATCACGCTCTTTCGCTTTCGAGGACCTCGAGATACCAAGGATCTCGCGCGAAGGTGCCCCAGTTTCGATTGCATCGTTCCTCGTCAAGGGCGAGATCAGAAGCGTACCCGAAAACCCGAGCTCCGCGCAACCTTACGTCCAAGCATGGCCTCCGAGATAGCGGGCGCGCGGCTGGGACACCAAAGGCAACTATGAAGTCAACGTTGACTGTTGAAATAGCGGTCCAGAAACCTCGTAGCGTTAAGGAAGGGCTTCTCGGAGGCCATGGACAAGCTATGTTAACGGCGAGCGGCGTTGCAGACAAGCGCTACACGGAAGTAATCGCGACGGTTAGGAGAAGGAAACGTTGCGATGCGCGACACGCCCATATTGGTACGCGGGCGACATCGGCCGAGGCGGAAAAGCGCGCGAGCAACGCGCGTGATGGACGTTAAGCACACCGGCATAATCCGAGCGGGGTCCGCGGAGTGAAACGGGAGGAAACGATTTTTTCCTGCTTTCCAGGAGTTGCCCCCCTGATCGGAAACCGTACATATCTTGCGTGGTCGTAGTTTATCCATTGATTTATCGTTAGTACAGGGACAACGCGTCGGAATTACGAGGCTGTTATAGGGGGACCCATTACGAGTAATTAACAATATGCCGGCGTACAGTGACGTAAGTCAAAGAGGGGGGGGGGGGGCGTACTGCGTTTGCTTGTGAAAGCAGAAATTAAAAAAAACGCCGAGCACAATAAAAGAAACACATTGGAACAAAAGACGCTTCGGCTCCCACACGGGAGTCTAGTTCACAGTCTTGTTCGTAGGATTGTGAACAAGGCTCCAGCACGAAACACCTTTTTTTTTATTAATTTGTCTCTTAAGTGGTCGCCGTTTATTCCGCCTTATGCAATACCTCCTTCCAAACAGACGGGACGCTGTCAAACGCTGGATTTCATGAGACCCTTTGTGTTCAGGCATGGGAAAGGAGGAACCCCTGAAATTCGTTCCTCAAACTTCGTATTTCGATTGATCGACAATTACGTATAGCGCTTTCCACTTTTTCCTTCAATGCCTATTTATTTCGCAGTGTGTGTGTGTACCTTACTGGGGCACTGTGTAGGGGAAATAATTTCGCTTGTATTAGTAACCATACCGCGGTACCATAAGCACCACACTTTCCGCGAGACGACGTCCGATAAACAGGAAAAACGTGCAAAAATAAAAGCTTCGAATAGCCATGAAAACTACAATTTCACGGAAACTGCCTTGGCATGCTTAATTAATTACCTGTAAAAGCGAATTTATGTCCTAGATGAGCCAATGACAACATGGCAAGTTTAAATTCTGGTGGACCTTGAAACTTAAGAAAAACGCCAGCAAGAAACCTTTGTGAAAGCATGTAAGTAGAACCCTTCTAGTACGTTTTTCGCGCAGGACCGCAAAAAAAAAAGGGGGCGGGGGGGACGCAGTAGTCGTGAAACGTATAAACCGCTGAAAAGCTAGGTGTCGTAAAACAATAAAACCGAAGCACTGCACACAGCTCCCACTTAGGACTTATTGATCATTTAGTGGTTTTAAAAAAGTCCCTGTTGGAAATCTCGAGTTTCTTGCACGCCTATGCCCGAACCAGAACCTTGAAAGATTTGAGTGGTCTAGTGGCAGTCCACACCGCCAAAATGATTGACGTATGCCTTCCCAGCACATTCAACGCAGCGACAGTTCGCAAAGCATGAGGTGAAAACTATGTGAGAAAAGGGAATTCTAGTGCTTAGGTATCTGTAGATTCTTTGCCGGGACCCAGCGTCTGAAACGCTATAAGCGGGAAAACGCCTAAGCGAAGAACGTATGAGCGAAGTTCAACTTCTTTGCAGAGAAAGGTATCGCACTGTTGCACGGGATGTGATAACTGTGCCCGAGTATCATCCGTGACTTCGCCAGCATAGCTTCTTCATTAGAAGACAAAAATGGAAACTTAAGGTCTCACTTCTGAATTTTGCGCCGAAATCCCAGCACATCATCGTCAATGTCAAGTGTTCAATCTGTATCATCAGCACCCTCTGACAGGGTGGGCTTACGTTAATACGTGTGACAGCAACATTCAAAATGCCCGAACACTTTGGCAAGATGCAAATAAACGTTTATTTTAAATGTTGCCGTCACATATACAAATCTGGGAGTGTACTAATACTACGAAGACAGAGTGAACTCCGTGCGTCCCACTGACGATGCTGTGCCGGAATTTCGGCGCGATATTTAAAAATGGCACCGATTTTACACTTTTGTTTTCTAATGCTCAACCTGGCGAAACAGACGAAAACAGTTTCTAATGAGTAGCATACCAATCTAAACTAATTTTTAAGACGCAATACGGAGTAACATCCAATAATTGCTCGGGTTTAACGTCCCAAAACCACACATGATCATGAGAGATGCCGTAGTGAAGGGCTCTGGAAATTTCGAGCACCCAGGGTAAGAACACGGGTCTCAAGCATCTTCAGGCAATACAGAGTGAAATAAAAGCTTCAGTACCTCTTTGATTCATTAACAAGATTATCTCGTTACGTTACGCAGTTAGAATGACACTTCTGTCTTTGAAAGTTTGTGCTACAGCATGCGAGAACCGAAAACGCACTGGACTATAATAGCCTGTTTCTCTCAGTCTCTGAGAGAGAGAGAGAGAGTACAACTTTACACGTGCGCATACGTGGTGCATGAGTTTAATCAAAATTTATTTGTGACATTCCGAAACCTTGGTCACCGTGCCTTGTCGCGCTCCTCTATTACACGGCGCAAGGGCATTTCAATGCTAGCCGTTGCTAGCGAACCACCTGTTCGTTCTATAAAAAGCCGGCGTCAGTTAAGCAGAAGTCAGTGTCTTATATTTCGCTCTTTCAAACCGAACGTCTACACAATCCCGCTATTACTCATCGGAGTGCACAGGTTTATGCAACTATCCGCCTAGTTACAGAGGGGTAAAAAAAAAAAAGTGGGATTGGAACGCTAATAGAATCCATCACAGAAGCATCAGCGAACGGTGAACTCGGCGTCTGAATTGCGCGGTTGGTAGTATCACAAAGAAAGTGACATGAGCTCACTGCATGCTTCTTTATTTTACCTGTACCTGGCGACCTCGCCAGTTGCCGACGTCACGGAATAATGATCCGTCCGAAAGCACTGAGATGCGGTCCGGCATTAGTACTACCGATCGCGTCGGTGTCCTCTCCAAGAGGAAAAAAAAACGGAAAAGAAAATCGGGTGCTCTCACGGGTAATTGTATACAGAAAAAACAGGAAAGCTCTCGAGGCGTCAAAACATTGCGAAAGAAACGGTAAACAATCAAGAGCTTGCATTAATCAAGGACGGCAAAGATCGCCATCAAAGCAAGACCCCACGCTGCTGAAAGAACAAAAAAAAAATAATAAACGCAGCGGCAGCACAGCGATACCGACCTCTCTGGCAGAGCGTACCATGCCCTTTTCCTCGTAGAACACGCTGCTTGCCAAAGGCGGATGCTTCAAGCAGTGAAAAACAACCTGAACTGCACGTCATACGAGCTAAACACTCTGCTGTCGAGAGATTTGATAGCAAACTGCTGACACTGTCATTCAACATGCCGAAAATGAGCCGCGATCGCTAGCACAACGAAACCTGATGCAAAGGCAGCAAGCAAGTTGCGTCGCATGTTCCGAGTTTCACACGACACGCAATCCTTCTGTAGTCATTCACTATTCGTGAAATTTAATGCCACTCAAAACTGACGCGATGCGTGCGACTTCGCTCGATCGTGACAGTATGCGGTGTGGTGCACAGCCCACGAAGTTCGCAGTAACGAAAACGTTTCGCAATTCATACCAAAGACACACGCCCTATAGACAAATCTCAACGATATAAATAAGAGGTCTCGGCACCGTCTTTTCAAACCGTTACTTCTCGACACGTCTTGGGGTTGTGCACAAGGTGTGTGCACGCAGTGCATCGCGTGAACACCGAGAGCTGCAGCGAAGGCATTGGCCTGGTGACCGAGTGGTTACGCTACACAGATGCGGATTGAGCGAAAAAAACCCAAAAATGAGCCGTGTCGTTACACGCACACACAGCTTATGGAACGAAGAATGGCACAAACCTCTCTGATGCGTCGGTAGACGAGGAAGAAGACATCCTGGGTCAGAACATGAAGCACCCACAAAACAAACCTAAAACCACCGACAACGCTCGACGACCGCTGCTTTCACCCGTTCGTCAGCTACAACACGAGTGGTACCATTGTCACGTGTCATGCGATGTCAGCGCGACGACGCATACGACATAACCAAATAAACAACCACTGCACGCGCCTAAATGCTCATCGAAGGAAGTTCTCTAAAAACAAAACAAATGAAGCAATATTCGATAGCTTAGCTGAAGAGTAGGTAACTTGTTTGCGAAGTTAACCGAAAACTGAACTTTGTTTTTTAAGTAAGTTGCAACGCCATCGACAATGCAAAGCGAAAGCAAGATGGCAGCCCGCACAGCGCTTACATGCCGAGAATACGCCAACACCAAAAAACTGCTGTTTGTCGCACGGTAAGACCGCATATAACCGATCGCTTGGCTTATTGATTGTCTAACTGTTCCTACACTCGCTGTTTCGCATTGTTGTTCCAGTCGCCTGCCTACAAGACACTCATCCGCACAAGCGGCGCCCAGTACATCGTCTGCAGGTTGGTAGTAACGAGTTTTCTAGTGATGAACCCCGCTGAAATCGGTAATCATTGAGCACCGTCTGTCTGGCTTTCTTGCAGAGAAAATCGTGAGCGGTGACGAGTCAACGGACGGATCAGGAAAACAGACCATCGTGATTCCGAAGAGGATCCCCAGGTAGTTATATAGCCGTTCGCAGGCGAGTCACATTTTGGCTCGGCAAAGTTGTTAGAGCGCTTAATTTACTTCGCAGGGGTCCGACGGACATACTGAAGGCACTTGCGTCTACCGTACAAAAGGTAACGTAAGCGGCATCTATCGCTTGTCACGGCGTAAAGGTGTAACGTTGGCTTTGGGTCAACCTATTCCAGGATTTCACGGCGCCTCATTACAAGTACCACGACGATCCGTTCTTCATCCCAGCGAGCAATGTGGCCAAGGTGGGAACGTAGTGCGCGTTTGTGTTGGCCTTCGTGCAAATTGGATTGCCGTACTGAGACCACTTTCGTTTTCAGAGGACGTTCGCACTTGCGAAAGAATCGGGGCGGAAGGCGGCGAAATTCTTCCTGGACAAGTATCCAGACAGCTTTGTTCACAATCCCGCTCAGCCTAGTGTGGAGGTATGGGTGCAAGTGCTTCCTTAATTAATCGTAAACCGGATAACCTTATCTAAGTGACCGTATCGGTCAGGATGCATATTTTAACTAGCAACTTGAACAACGCACGAAGAGCTTTGGAGGAACGCAATTAAAAAGTCACCCCACATCTGATGCTTACTAAAACCTAAAGAAAAAATAAAAAACAGGGATTTAAGTGCGTAACCTACGCGTCACACACTATAGAAGCAATTTCTTGGGCGAGCATTTAATCACGGTGTTCGTTCTCTTGACACTTTAACCGAATGTTGCTACATTGGGTTGCATTTGTTGTTCATTTCCTTCAATATGTGTTTTGCCAGAACACTCCAGTCGTTAGTCAATACTAATGTTGGGTTTTCCTTTCTACTTACTTTTACATTGAGTAAAATATGCATCCGTAATAGTCCGCACACAGCATGAACAAAGCTCCAATGTGTCTTGCTTGTCCTGGGCTGCAGGCATTCAACCCAAAGAAGAAGTACACTGCTGAGACCGAGGTGGAAGAGAGCGACCTCATGGCCTGTATTGAAAACGTCGATCTTGACAGTGCTGTTGTTGTGTACCAAAACCTTAAGACCAAAGGTACGTGTAGAATGATGCGTCGTCATTTGAGAGGCTTCTCGTGTAGCTTGGAATAAGTCATTGACTTATGTGTAAGGTTTAACGTCCCGAGACCACCATATGATTATGAGACACGCATCAGACTGAGTCTTTGCCGGTGTGTTAATCCCTGCAGGCACGGCCATATCTCAAGATCTCCTGCAGTCGTTCCTTGAGTTGCTGTGCTTCTACAACTGTAAGCAACCACTTGATGAAGATTTGACAGAGGTGAGTTTAGCAGTGGCACAGTGTAGGCACAGTTTGCTCTATTTGGACAGCTCGTGCATTCATATTGTAAGGTAATGGAACAGTAAATGTGGTAAAACCCTTAGGTAACCAAAATGCAGTACAACCACTCTCCGTGTAAGAACACTACACTGACAACCGATTTTTTCATGAGAACCCTTGGATAATCAAAATGTAGTACAACGATTCTCCGTGTGACAACACTACACTGCCAACTGATTTTTTTTCACCAGGACTGTCCTTTCCTGCCAGGTGAACAAAGTGAACTGGCACACTTCCAGCTTGAGTTTCTCGTAACATCTCTTTGAAACACACTTAGGATAGTGGGGACAGGGGTTCTATTTTTTATCAGTCACTTCCTGGAACATCAAATATCTTTTGTATACATATTGTAATTGTGTCACCAGAGAGCACTTATCATACTCCCAGTTTTTGTCTCACAGGAAAGATGGCAACGTCAGATAGCCCCCAGAGAGACAAGGAAGTCGTGGAAGTAAGTCTTCACATTTACATGCATCGAGAAAAAAAAAAGATCAATTGCTTACTAGAAATAAATTTTGTGTGCAATGAATGGTACTGCAGATAATGCTGTAGTACCCATGAATGCATTTTATATGTATGTACATTTGCTTTCAGTCTTTCTCAAAGCACTGTTGTTTTTTCATGCCTGCAGTAGGTTGTACAATTTGATCCTTCTCACGTCATGCAACTCATACATGCTTTTAAAATTCTGGATTTAAAATAAAACCCATCTAAAGAGCATGTCATGCTAGAGTTTGAATTTAGAGATGCAAAAGCAGGCAATCCGTATGTTGCATTAAGAAAAGCTTTAGAAGAAAGATGTAGTATTGAACTATTTTGGCTGACATAGTAGCTTCTCAAGGTGGCTGTGAAAACTAATGTACATTATGATGTGCATAATGTATATAATGCATTTTTGTTGTATAATGTGTGTTTTTATGTATGGTAACACAAATATATATATATATATATATATATATATATATATATATATATATATATATATATATATATATAGGTATGGGATATGGCACAACGGAAGCGTTGTCAACAAGGATAAATATATTTATTTCCCGTAAGCTATCGCTTACTACAAACCCACTCTTACCCCAGCCCGGTCGTCTTACGCCACTGCTACCCGCACTTACACATTACCGATCTATGTAAAGCATGCGGGCACAGAGCAACGCTGCGCCACATGCTCTGGGAATGCGCCGATAACAATGGTCGAGAAACGGCCGCCGTTCGCGATGCGCCTATGGCGGCTGCCAATACCAGGCAACAGGAAGCCTCGAGCTCACTCGTTCCCGCCGCCGTCCCGTCTGCGGGAGCCGCGGGGGACCTTCTCCGTCGGCGACGCCGCCGCTGGGAGGCGGCGCTCAGAAGCTCGGAGCTCAACGACCAGCTCTGGGCTGTCCGGCAGGCCGAAGATGCCGCCCGAGTTCAGGGACTCAGCGCCGCCATCTGAGGCCACCAAGACCAAGCTGCCGGCCAATTTCTAATAAAGTTTCCTCTCTCTCTCCCAACAGTTTCGGGAGGTTCATGAGGGGATGAGTTATACTAACATGAACTTCCAAACTTCGTTGCTGCCGCGTCCCTCTCGCCTTGAAGAATGCTTGCGAGAGATAGAACTAAAAAAAGAAAGAAAAAAAGAGAAGAAAAAGACGAAAAGAAAAAAAGGAAAAAAAAAGAAAGTAAAGAAGAGGAAGAACCACTGTCAACACTGAGAACGAAACCAAATGTCCATGTAGGTCCACATCTTCCCTTCCCTTAATATTTTAAATTAAGGGGAAACCCTTTCCTTATACACGCTGTCACGGACCCCCTCCCGCCACCCACCCCAGCGACAATCTTGGGTGGCCCGCACGGGATAAGAACCAGATGTAGACGTACACAGACATTTGGTTTCGTTTCCAGTGTTGACAGTGGTCCTTCCTCTTTTTTACTTTCCTTTTTTTCTTTTAGTCTTTTTTCTTGTCTTTTTTTCTTTCTTTCTTTTTTTTAGTTCTCTCTCTCGCAAGCATTTTTCAAGGCGAGAGGGACGCGGCAGCAACGAAGTTTGGAAGTTCATGTTAGTATAACTCATTCCCTGATGAAGGGAGGACCCCTCCCGAAACTGTTGGGAAATAAATATATTTATCCCTGTTGACTACGCTCCTGTTGTGCCATATCCCATACCTTCACAAAGACTAACTGGCCCATTGAATTATTACTCCCACTATATATATATATATATATATATATATATATATATATATATATATATATATATTATTTTTTTTTTAATGGAATAAGGCTGCAGGACACAGCGTTTGTTGTCATTGAATCATCACTGCTCTCAATATTAGTGTTTCTTATACCAGTGTCAGATTTCCACTTTTTATAGTGATCAGAGCCAATTCCAATCATATTTCCTCATCACAATCAACAACAGTTGCTGACTCCCTGCTACTAGGTTCAGACTAATCCAGGTCGAGCTTGGCGCTGACGTCAGTCGCATCATGGTCTGGGAGCCTGAGCTTGATGGGCTCACCATGACCGTCTTGATTCTAATCGGGCCTGCTCGTGATTGAAAGAGACCATGTAGCAGCACCTAATCCTGAGTGAGCGTAATGTCGATGGGCCCTGATGGGGATTAAAATGCCTGTGCAACACTGGTATTAAACATTGTGCCGTAATCAATAGTGAGGGAAGGTAGCCCATGGTGTGTTTGTTACAAATAGGGTTGATTGTTGAGCATAGGTTAGCGACTGCAGCTAGCGTACATCGTACAGCGAGACGTGTATAAGTATCAGATCCACTTACATGCATACGAAAGCAGTACCTCGTTTCTTCACTGTTATTAGGACAGTACAGTGTACACCCCTGTATGCGATTATGCATATGAAATCTTAGTTTTTACTTTTCAATTATTTTATATATTACTCTTGTTTTGGGAAATGTGTGAGGACGACAATTCATGAGACACACAGAAAGTGTACTCAGTTTGCACTGCTTTTGTCTCCCTTCAGAGATGGTGGCCTAGCTGAGCAGGTTTTTGACAGCATTGAAAACAAAGACGGGAGAGCCTATGCTGCTTTGATTCAAGGAATGGCAAAGGTTGGTTGTATACTAAAACTGAAAGGTGATAATGTGCATAGAGTGTTGGATGAATGCTTGATAATTTTTTATCCTCAGGCCACTAAGATACTAATATCCGTGACAGTGGTGGCATTTGAACGCCACGAGTGCAATATTTTTGCAGACTTTCAGTATTGTTTGCAGCAGTACCAATGCCCTGTTGTTGTGTGCTCTTGTCAGGTAGCAAGCTCTAACATGAAACTGCGAGCTAATAACTGTTCACTTCGTCTCTTGCCTTTCCAGCACTACCATGTCGACAAGGCTTATGAGCTATTCCAGGAAATGACTTCAAAGGGAATGACACGTGAGCAACCTAACTTTAATCGTTACACATATAATACTTGTGACAGCGAATCCCAAATAGCCACTTTTGCCGCAGCAGTTCATGTCGAAAGTGGAGACAGGTATGGTAGCATGTGATCAGTCCAGAACTAGGGACAAGCAAAGAAAGACATTTGCAGCAGTGGCTTCCAACTACAAAGAAAGTTGTGAAAAGTCGGTGCTGTGTCTGTCTTCATTTATGAATGAGACTTCACTTGATGTTGATGTGGCATGCCGACAGTTGCTCGACAAGGAACATTTGCTCCCTGGAGCTGGATATTGTGTCCCTCAAATTTTCCTCGTGTTCATGTTTCAAGAACTCTTTGCTAGACATGCCTGCCGGGCCTGTACAAGCTCTGGTGATCTTGTGTAGTACATAAATGAAATGCATTAGCAAATGTATGTCCCGGCAATCATTTCTCTATTTGCCTGTTAAGCAACAGATCCTATTGAGACGTCATAAATGAATTCAACAGGGCATGGTGTCACATGCTTCAAATTTACTCTTTTTTAAAGTATGCACAGATGATAGTTGTTACGAAGATTTCCACCAGCTGGGGACACTCACTAGCTTTTTTGCGTTGCCTTCAACTTCTAAGAGCTAACTGACCTCACTGTCGTTAAATCATTCCTTTGGCAATCTAGATTAAAGCTGGCAAGCAACATCTCTCTGGCGCTTACTCCTCTTCTGACAAACATTAGGTAGTATTATTTTCTCCTTGTCGCACAATCTTTAGAAGATTCCTGAGGGTGAAAACAGTACTGAGGGTTGGTACTCTATGTCATGGTGCTGTTTTCTCGCTTGAAAACATTTTTAACGTTTGGTTATCAGTACTCTGAGCTTTTAAGCTACATGCTGTTGCCACTATACATACATGTCACACAAAAGTATACCACGTGAACTGAAACCACTCATTGTGCCAACAGGTAGGATAAACAACAGGAGAAGTGGGCGTGCAAGTGCGTGGCAAAGGTGTGCTAGCAGATGGGTCAAAACTGATATCTCCGTGTCAACATCATTTTATCCTGTTGGCATCACAGGCTTCACAAAACTCATTAGAAATACACTGGAAAAGCAGGCGAGAGGAACGCTCAATTTTTCTAAATTATGAGCAAGTGCCTTAGAGCCCTAAAAACTGGACAGGTTTCAGGCTACGTCAGGCTTTAATATCGGGAAAGATAGAGGCAGCAACGTAAAGATGAAATTTTAAACGTTATGAGGGCAGCTCCACATTCTTTTGCTTTAATGTTTTTCTTCTCATTACAGCTCCACTTGAAGTGTACAACAGCCTGCTAAGTGTGGTCCCATTCCTCAGAGAGAGCTACGACAGCCGGTGGGAGCTGGCGAAGGTAAGGATTACATGGCCTGCTACTGTTTGTTTTCAGTCAGAGATTTCCAAAACGGTATTGTTAGTCGCCTGCTTTTGGGAATATTTCCACTCAGTTAAATCGGCTCCCACATTGTATTTTCACTGGAATTGTGAAAGTACGATGTAGTAACAAGACCTCCTTAAAGAAATTTTTAAGAATTGGAAACATCTTTACAGCATTCAATGGAATTGGCGCAAATATTTAAAACTGTCTGAAAGATATAAGCAGAGATGCCCATTTGTTTTTCACTCATATTCAGCTTAATTTTTGCCAAACAATGATGAAAATGCACTTTTCATTAGATGCATTGCCTAACTGCTAGGTGTACAAGCTTGATTGTTCCAAATTATCACGTGCCACTGTCGTTTCGTCACCTTATTTTGGGTTGTCCCGTGCCTTGTACGCAGGAAATCATGCAAGGTATCGAAAGGAACCAACTCAAGCCTAACATCACCACCATGAACACGGCCCTCGAGATTGTGTCGCGGTTCGGGGCGTCCCCATCTGCGAGGAAGTATGCCCTGCAAATATTTTCCGAAATGAAGCACCTTGGCATCGGTGTGTAGCATTTCATAAGCTTATATTAAAAAAGACTTCATAAAAAGGGGCTTTGTGAGCGCATGCGGAAGAGAAACACTAAAACCGCTTACACTCACAATGTGATAATTCAGAATTCTGTTATTGCCGATTTCCCAGTGTTGATTGAATCACTTACAAAGAAAAAATAAGTGTGAATGTTTTATTTTCTATAGTTATCACGTAGAAATTTCAGTACTAGTTCATTATTATATTGCAAATTTTGAATTATTTTCGTAGAGTCATTGTAGCAAAGTAAAAATTCTTTGAAATATTTAAGTGCAGTTTTAACTTATTTACTATAGAGCATAATCTCTTATTATCAATGACAAGTTATTCTAGGCCCAAGTAGCCGCCATCGAAATTCACATTGTCACAGTAAGCTAGTGCGGCAGCTTGAAAAAAGACTGGCCACGCGTCTTTCATTTAACATGTTCAGTGTCTTATTGGCCCTCTTCCCACAATAAATGTGTCATTTTTGGTATATTGTAGAATGATAGTTCTCTAATAATGCTCGAATAATTTTCTTTAGCATCCTGTTATGATTGTCTCTTCAAATGAAATTTACTGATCTACCTGATAAACCACTTTACGTGCTTTGTTTTCCTGCGTGCTGACACAAGTGTGTAGCTGCAAAGGCGCACACTCTTCACAGAGTTCTATCTTTGTCATTAACGCCATTCAACTTTTTTCAGAGCCGTGCCTTGCCAGCTACTACTACCTGCTTGTAATTTACTGCAAAACTCGTGAGTCATTTCTCTGTTGAACTTGTTAGCTACATGTGCCACAGAAAAATCGCTCCATGTGTTTTTTTTTTTCTCTATCTCTCTCCCTTCAGGAGGCGCCCCGAGCACCATCCTACACAGCATCATGAAGGAGATTGAAAACAAGTCCTTCGAGATGAGAGATCCCAAAGATGGTTGGTAAAACACTCTCTCGTTTAATGGCGTACAGTATTGATGGCATATGGATGTTGGCGAGAAAAAGCTTAGATTTATCTCCCTATAACCTGTCATTCATCGATCCACGTCCTCTATATGAAAGTTTGACTGCAAATGTGATATGTACTGTGTGTTCTTATTGTTTTGTTCACGTCTGAACAAAAGAATAGGCATTTAATTAAGGGCTCATTTTTGTTAAACACAGCAACCTTAATAAAAACCGACAATGAAGCCAAGGAAGATATTGGGGATGTTATTTGTTGTATCTTAATTAACCCTGTTGTGGCAGTTATGGTATAATTGTGAAGAAGTTAAAGTGCCATGTGAGGCCAGCTGTAAAAAAAATAAGGTGTTTCACATTTGTCGCCATGGCTATGAGTGGCGCTGACTTAACACTCTCATGCTAACATGCACAGGAATATGTACCCGATAAAGTGGATGCTAGGACTCAATCGCCACTGTTAGTCAAATCAGTTGAACGTTGGACGCTTCATCCGAAGGTTGCAAGTTTGGTCGCTGGCGGCAAGTTGTCCATTTAATTTTTTTGTATTTATGACATAATAACTGCAATACATATAAAAGACATTAATTATTGTCCTTTATACCTGTCTTGGCTTCATTGTCCTTAGGCTTTCATTGAGTTCACAGCTGGCAGCATGTAAAAACTAAGCATTATGTGTCATACAGCATGCTTAAATTGGTGTTAGCCTGAACATTAATCCTGTTTTTTTCCCCCATTTACGATTTCAGTGTTCTTCTTTGTGAGCGCAATGGACGTGGTGAGTGCTGTGATCTTGACCTTTACACGCACTTAGTTGATTCATGCAGTTTGTAGATGCTTATTTGATGAGCATTATCTTATCTTTCAGTGTCACAACCATCTGCTTGACAAAGATCTGGCTTACAAAGTTCACGAGCTGCTAAACTATGGCACAAACTACAACATGATTGGAGATTCTTTCAAGGAATCAATATACTAGTAAGCAAATGTGACAAAAGAGTTACATACTTTTGCAGACTTCACAAAAATCACACGTAAATGCATGCGGCCGTTTCCATTTCAGCCAGAACTTTTTCAAGCTGCTTTGTTCCACGGAGAACATTGATGTCTTCTTCGACATGTACAACAAGTACGTCCCCAATGTAAGTCGCAGGTCGTTTATTGGAATTTTCGCTAAGGATAAGCGAATATTCGATCGAATATCAGTGTATTCGAACTCGCTTCAACAGGAATTTAGATTATTCAATATGAACGAATGTATATTTATGTGTATGTATATTTAAATGCACGTTATCCTTCTGTAAAGATGGTTTCACTGTTGTGCGGGTGTGCTGTGACGTGAAACCACTCGCCAAGGAGAAATCCGCACTGTCAATGAAGCTACAAGTCAATAATAAATCTACATTTATCACCTTTCCCCTCAATTAATTATTTCTTAAGTTTATATGTGTGTGGCACGGACTTATAAGTGCTAATCATAATAACTTTTACACCGTAACGTGCTTAACCAGTTCTAACCTGCAGTCAGTCTCCTGCTGTACAAAACTTGCTACTATTCGAAGTTGCTTCCTCTTCATATTTAAACAGAAAAGTGTAATTAACAAGTGCCCAATTCGAATTCCTAAAAACAGCGTGCAAGTTAGTCGGATCTTGACAAACGTACTACATTTTCGTATTAATATGTGGTATATATACTATTTGATTCAAAATTATTCCGCCAAATCACTATTCGCTTCGAATTCGCTTCAAAACCTCGCGCTTACTATTTGCACATCCCTACATTTCGCACTTAAGCGGCACTACTAAAAGCATTCTCTTGCAGATCTACACACCCGAGCCAAGTGTTGTGTGTGATATCTTAGAAGCTGTGGACCTGAATGATGCAATTCATTATGTGCCTCAGTTGTGGACAGGTAAGGGCACAATATATGTAATGCTTCCATCTGTTGCTGAGACTAAAATCAGCGTTGCTATCGTTGCTCACTATCATAGAATATAGTGTCGGCATATCACTATCTCAATGCTATAAACCAAAGGCAGGCAGACGTGCAACTGTGACAGCTACAGCACCTGTGCACCGTATAATGTTCCAAGATTTCTTGCATTGCACTACTACTGTGAGTTGTCCTTCACTACTGTCATTTTTTACTAAACAAAATTCTCGTCTCACATCACCCTCAAAAACACTGTACCAAGCCATAACAATAATAATAATATTAATTATTGGGTTTTAACATCTCAAAACCAGCATATGATTATGAGATGGCGTAGTGTAGGGCTTTGAAAATTTCGATCACCTGGGGTTCTTTAACATGCACTTAAATCTAAACACATGGGCCGCAATCATTTTCGCCTCCATCGAAAATGCAGCTGCCACAGCCAGAATTAGATACCGTGATGTGCGGGTCAGCAGCCGAGTGCCTTAGCCACTAGGCCACCCAGCGGGTCACCAAGTCAACGATCTAATATCATGTGCATCATTTGTTTTAAAACTATTGCTTGAAATATTTCCGTGATTATAATAATGCTAAGAAAAGGTAATCTTTTTGTTACATATTAAGGACATTTTCTTGAGCTTTCTACTGAAAGATATTTGGGCAAGTCTGAATCATTTTCCATGTGTCACAGCAAAGGATGACTCATCATCATCATTACAGTGTGATTAAATACCGCTGTTGAGTTTTCGGCTGAATTCTTAATCGTACTAGAAATGCTCATATTTATTTGGTAAAATGGGCCTATAATAAATAATTTGCCAATTTTCAACAATTATCCAAGTATAATTGTGGTTTCCATGGTTAATGCAATTACCAGTATCTAGCATAACACTGCATGTACCACTATGCGAGTTGTAGATATTTGCAATGTGTGTACGTAAAAGAATGCTAAAAAAATTGCACACAGTACCTAGGGCGCAGAGACGTGAATGTTGTTCCTGAAACTGTCACCATTCATTGAGACCTCATAATAAAAAAACAATCAGCCCAATTTCAGCTCTGGGAAGTGTTGTTGCATTTACGTCACTTTGTGTGCCTTGCTTTTGAGGAGCGGGAATGACATTCAAGTACTATGAAAATTCAATTGCTACGTCTAATAGCTGTTACAACGATGTTGTGTGAGGGTGAAAGAAAAATAGAGAGGAATGGGGTCAAGCTACTGTTAGTTATAGTAGCTTAGTGGTAACTGGGCCAATGACACCTCCCATCCGCCTACCAACTGCGTTATTGTGTTTGCCTGTTTGACTTCTTTTTCTCTCTTCTCTCTAATCCAGATATTGTTCTCTTCAACCATCACGAAAGAACTAATGTCATCAAAGCCATGCTTGCCGTAATGGCCAAGGCAAAGCGACCCGAGGACGTGAGCTCTCCTGAGCACATTTCGTTTTCCTTATTTCTTTCCTTTAAAGGCAACTTGTTTTAACGGTGACCAAATTTTTTTTGTGCCAGATTCAAAAACAGTTGTCCAGGATTACGATCGACATCAATGAAAGGTGCGACATGCCACAGACAAGGCGGCGACTCCAGCCCATTGAGTAAGTAATGAAGCAGGCTGGGCATGTTGGGTATAACTTGTGTTTTTGAGGACTGCAATGCCTCATTGTATGTCTGCACTGGCACACAAAGCCAATTTCAGCCTTATAGTACTATTGCGCCTGTTACTTACACTGGAAATCAAAGTGCTGCACAGGTTCTCACTTATTTTTAAGGCATTAACCAACGGCCTTATTGAAAGCAATGCATGTAGAACATGCATCGTGATATCTTGAACATTGCTAATTCTCAAGAATAATCAACCATGGCTAATGATTTAAGTCTGCAAGTGCACGTATGTGCATGCTTTTGTTCACCAACGAAGAAAAGTGGTCGTGCCCCATCATGGCACTCTCCTCGCTGTACTTTTTTTTTTCGTCTCTCAAGAAACGTACGTCATGAGGATGATTGTGTGCCATGCAGGTGGACGGGACAAATGTTCGGCGACATGATGGCAGTGTTCCTGAACACGAGGGACGGGCTGCCCGATGCTTGGTGAGTACCAAAGATGTGGGTATTCACATAAATACGCTACATCTACTAAGCAAACAAGGTGCGCAATATCTACTCCAGCTTGGAAACCTCTGAGGAACTATTGCCTTTGACCTCAAGACTAGACATAGATCTGGCTAAGTTCTGGTCATGTGGCATCCACTGTCAGCATAATGTCGGCCGCCACGGCATATGCAGCAGTTTCTTGGTGCTTGCGTACTTTGTTCTCTCACAACGGTAGGTGCGCCAACACGTTTCCTTCTCCGGCTTTCTCAGGATCTGATCAAAAGCAAACTTCATGTTTTCATAATCCATATCAGAGCACATTAGCAACCGCTCAAATCAAACTGTAAGTTGACCTTACGAGTGAAAGAGGTCAGCACTTTTACCAAGAGAGCTGCTATTCCTCTTCTCACATCGTCACGTTGAATACATTAGATTTCTTCACACTTTTGTAAACACTCGGCAACGTTCATTTCTACATCATGTCAAGCCTTGCAAGTGTTTTTCACCTGGAACTGGGCTTCAAGCTCGAAATTTGGACATTTTAACATAGGTTTTCATTTTACTATCAACTTTGTTGAGTGAAATCTAGGAAAATATAGTTAAACAGAATATTCTGTGTGTCTAACCTGATATAGTCTCTTTTTAGAATTCTCTAAAGTTTGTGCCACTGAGCGTAATCAATAAATGTGGAAACAGCATCACTTATCAGCCTAAACTGAAGCGGTCTGTGTGTAACTATATATATATATATATATATATATATATATATATATATATATATATATATATATATATACTTTTCCAATACAGGTCTGTCATGCAAAAGCTTGATCGTGAACAACAAAGGATACTTGGCTACCCAAGGTGAGCTGGAAAGCTTCCAGTATTAGTCATTGTGTTCTCACAATTTGCCTTCTGCTGCGGCTTCCAGCCAAGAATGCTTGAAGAACTTCGCTCAAGCAGCCCTGAACAAGAAGGACGAAGAAAAGGCATTTGTAAGCTGGTGTTTTTTGTTAATACCTCTTCATGTTTCTACGATAAATATCAGTAATAGCTCACCCTGTTTTTATAGTTACTGTTAATGTCATTAAGCAAATGATGATGGCCTCACAAAAGGTGTGCTTTTCAAGAAATTGATAATTCCGAGGTCTTACACTCCATATATTATTTTTATTGATATCAGTTGAAAACACAGATGTATGAAATATGCTCAAGGCACGTTCGTTCAACCACACTCAATGAAGAGTTCCGGATTATATGCAATTTTACAACAATGGCATGGGTTACCATCTGCAAGAATGTAAGAACAAGCCCACATGTAGAAAAAAAAGTGTCGAGTTGTATTTCGGCACAAATGGCTCTAGCGAAATACAACGTATAGGAGCCTCTCGGGAATCACAGCTTAAAGCTTGGACTCGCGCACATTTAACCATGTCTTTTTCATTCAACCAAACTATTGAGTGGCTTCTGCGCATTTGAGCATCTTCTTAGTAAAAATGCAACTGATGAGACCCCTGCCTGCAAAATAAGTACCGAAAATTGAAACAAGCCGTGTGATATAAATCGTAAACATAACTGAAGTTTGCGCAATTTTTCGAAAAGTAGAATCTGTACAAATTGTAAATTTTACCCACCTGACTACTGTAGAGATATTCGCAAGCATATTTTTTTCTTTTCCTTTCCAGTTCTGCGCAAGGTATGCCGCCGAGATTGGCTTTACAGATGTCGGAGAGCATCTGCGGCAGGGAGAAAACTTCGACAAGCTCTCTGACAAACTCAAGTAAGCATTCGGTCGAGCAGCTCATACGGTATCTCCTGTTTGCATTATTTCCGAAAAAGTTTGTCATTAGTTGATTTAGGCGTGTCCAGACTTCCCGCTGTTGTTTGCATAATCATAAAGTAGGCTCGCGAAAAATTCAAACTCTGATAATTCATACTTTCATTTAATTCAAACAAAATTAAATTTTATTTTGTTGGCCTTCTATTCTTTTAATGTATTTGAAAGCCTCTTAATTCAAACTTCATCATTTGGTTAATTCATACTTTTTGCAATTCTGTACCACAAAATATCTGCTGCTTTCCCGCTATTTTTCAAAAATTTGCGTGCCTACATAATCCAAACAGTCTAAAAATAAAAAATAAGCACTTCGGACCTCAAGAGAAAAGGCTTTTCTAGTAAACAAATGTTTGAAACAAAGCACACGCATGGTAAACTTTGATGCTTCTCAACTGGTATAGATGACTTTGTGCTGAAGGCACATACCTATAGCAAAGAAGCAGTTGGCAACTCACGATTTCTTTAAAAAGGTCTGATCGGCAGTAAATGGCCAATAAACTTGTGGACCTTGCACCTCTGCTTTCTGTTCATTGCGTGCAGTTAGGGTTTAAAAGCACTTGAAAATTTTTAAATGTGATAAAATCAATGCCTAATCATAATGTGTAGTGCCACCTCACCCAGAGTCATCTATCTGAGAATGTCTGATAATTCAAAATTCTTAATAATTCAAACAAAATTCAGAGGTCCCTTCGAGTTTTAATTAATGAGAGTTGACTGTATAAGTAAAAGACTCGCACGATGATTGGTTTCATCAGCGACGCTGAAACTTTTACAACAACAAAGACGCTGGTTTTCTAGAAACCATCGAAGGATGTCGTGAATGCTGCGAAAGGGCAGGCGTGTGGTTTTGTCTCAGTTCACTGCCTTTCTGCGTAGAAACTTAAAAAAAAAAGTATAAAAGGGATGAATGTTATTTCAGTTTTTTCAGCTTGTGACATCTTATAGAACAAATGGAAAAGTGGAAGCACGAGAAGATCAGTGTTGGTAGCTAAAATAAAAACATAGCAAAAAAAGAGAGCTGTTCATTGGAATTTCATGTGAAAGCAACAGACATGCTGCATTGCCTGCAAACAGCCCACTCTCTTCGGTATGCTTACTTCTGTCTGTGAAAGAAAACTCTTACTTACAAAGACTGTCGAATAGAACTTTCAGAACTATGCTTTCAGCTTGACTTGTGCTAAAGTAAATCACTAAAAAAGTTTATGGTGACTGCACCTAGAAAGTTTTCTTGAGGTTTCTGTAATTCGTCTTGTAATTCAGCCATATTCAGCACACATCCCAGTTAAGCATGAATAAGCAAAAGTCAGTTTTGCTTTTTTAGGGGCGAAGCTCCTTAGGGCGTGGGCTGTGCGTCCCCTGTAGCCTGTATGTAGCCACCTCTAGTTTAGTTCTTGCAGTGTTCACTAGATGGCCGTACCGTCCCCTGTATGTAGACACCTCTAGTTTAGTTCTTGCAGTGTTCACTAGATGGCGGTACCGTCTCCTGTATGTAGCCACCTCTCGTTTAGTTCTTGCAGTGTTTACTAGATGGTGGTACTTGTAGCTGATGATGAAAAGATGCAAGATGTTATAAACTAGAAAGCGGTACTTGTAGTTGATGAAAGACGCGAGATCTTATAAAATAGGAATGATGTCACATATGGCGCGTGTCATTGGTTGAAGGCAATCGTTCGATTTAGTGCGGCGATGTACGCTAGGGGGAGCGTTGTAATAAAATCCGTTCGCTGTTGGCGCGCGCTCAGAGTCGCCGGATGGATAAGGCTGCACAGCGGAGAGAGCGCAAGGCGGCAGCAGCGCGCGCACACAGCGTTTCTCACGTCTTTACATGATGATCGACTGGGCGAATTACACGGAAGATTCACAGTTTACCGATGAATCCCTCCGGAGCTTCGCCCATTCATCATCATTCACCCCGTGAATATGCCGTAATTTTTTTAACAGTGGCCAGCGTTTTTGTTAAACTTGCTGTATAAATATTATCATTACTTTATGTCACTGCTAGACATTCAGAGGTGGAAGCAAGTACATTGTACATTTTTGGAAAAAACAGATCTGCGGCACTTCAAGCATTTCATGTTCATTTGTTTTATAAAATGCACAACATGGTAACATATAGAGCATGTCAAAATATTACATACATAAAAGCCTGTCAGCTTCAAAGGAAAAGCCACATTCTCATGTAAGCCGTAACTATCTATACAATATAGAAGTAGAAAACAAATAAACTGGCCGACTCGTCATTAATGGTATGTATTAACGATGTAGGCATTTCATGTTGATGGTATGAGAGACCTATATTGTGACACTGTAAACACCGCTCGAGAATGAAGATGCTGGTGTCAATAAAATTGCCGACACTGCATGCTTAGGAGAAACAAATCAATTCACATTAGGAGCTGATTGCATGTGATGTCTGGAGCTGCATGGCATAAATATAAAACTTTGTAAACTTGGTTCTTTGTTAGGAAAAGCACTGTTACAATAGCAACACATTCGGTTATAAATACTCCAATGCCAGTTTTCAGTTTGACATACTATATAGGAACTAGTTTTGCATTATTTCACGAGCATTTCGAACTTGAAACTTCATGTTATGCGTGTTTATTTACTTGTCGCTCGAAACAAGAGATGAAAATCCACGTGTTTAAACATACTTCCCTTGCTAGTAGAGTATAAATTAAAACGGCTGTTATCTACGAAAATGGCACACACAGGTGAACAACTTCATTCAGTCAGATGAGAGGAATTGTAACATTGTCAAACAAAAGCAGCGCAGGAAGCAACGAAATGGATTCACTAATGGATAGGCAAGTCAGAATGTTTAGCTGGCAAAACATTTTCTTTAAGCCTAGGTTCACTCATAACTGATTTTCAGTGCTCCCAGGCCAATGAACAAATCACTGAATGCACTGTTGCATAGTTCGCAAAATGATTTTTCTCTGCAGCCTACGACTGCTAGAGAGGCAGTGGTAAGCTCATAAATGTCTAAATTCAACAAAAGAAATAAGAGTGTCACTACAGCCAACGTAAGCCATGTCAGAAAGTACTGATATAAAGAGAAAGCAATGCTAAAAATAGCATCACGCTTTTTTTCTTTCTTCTCATTACAGGGACAAACTGAAAGAGCTGCTCGACACAACTGTGCTTGGCTCTTCCGAAGACAATGGCAAAGGAAATTAGACGTCGCATTATTAATTTGATCTGTATAACACTAGAGTAAATAAAGATGGCTCATTCTCACCCAGCATTGCTGCAAAGGTGACGCTCATTGGCAGTTCTTTGTTCTACTGACAGAGACATGCTCTGTCAGGATGAAATAATGTCCTTTAGCAAGTCAGGATTGTGAAGCATAAGTTCGTAGTAGCACCTCGACTGAGATTGGAGAAAAGGATTGTCGTCTTGACACAGTGCATCAAACACTATGCCCAATAGGTCTTGCACTTGACACGGTCTCGCGAAGAACAATCTCAGGGTAGCAGTTAAGAGATGCTGCTTCACGCTTGCTTCTTCTTCTTTTATATTCTCAATGTAATCTTCAAGAATGTACACAGAGGGTTCAAAATGAAGACCATGAGTAGAAACAACATCAATAAGATTGCACTTGAACTCGGCACTAACGCATGTCCACTTCCGTTTAACAATGCTGTCCAGCACTTTGTTGCTCTCTTCGGACTTGTCGAAATTCAACGAGCACAAGGCTCCCAGGACGTCGGTCACTAGCGCTTCATTGGCCACGTTCAGTAAAGGCAATAGCTCAGTTATCAGCACCTTTCTTGCGTCATTGTGTTTGTTGGCGAGAGAGGCCACTAGCTGCAGGGCACACTTGCGAACGTCGTCGTTTCGGTCGTTGCAGAAGCCAAGGAGTTCGTCGTATATGTCAAGCAGGTTGCTTTCATGCACCAGACACTTCAATATCTTCATTTTCTTCACCTTGAGTGCTGGGGGATCTGAAAACCACGCGAAGAATTTCGTCGAGTGAGGCCTGAAAATGTCAGGGTAAACATGCACATATTTTTCAACCCATTCGAGGACTGTCCACGTCATTTCGTGCTCGCAAAAGCCAAGGCTGGTGGAAAGCTTTGACCAAACCTGCGTAATGCCCTCCGTTTGCAAGTGACTTAAACTTTGGGTCGCGTGAACAAACAGTTCGAAGGCACTGAGCTGTACTGCAATGCTGTTTGACGTTAGGTACGGATCAAGGGCGTTGACAAACATGAGCGCCTCTTCCTCCGTTTTGGGCTGGTATTTCTTAAGGTATTCGAACACGGCTATCGCATCCCAGTTGCTGAACAGTGGAAGCTGCTTCAAAAGGTAAGCCGATATCTTCTTGTTAACGGCAATTCCACCTTCGGCATGCAGAATCTCATCAAGGGCGTGCAGGCACTGCACGACGACGATGGGATCCTGATCCCTTATCATGGCGTACAGCTTGTCAGCCAGATCCAACTCGTCTACAATTTCTGCGTGGTACTGGTTCAAGCTCAACGTGCACGACACCGCTGCTCGGCGAACATAAGCACTTGCATCTTCAAGTCCCACTACAAGTCTCGGCACAGCCTGTTCCATCACAGCTGGAACACTGAAGAGGGTATTCAGCGCGAGGCCACGATATATGGGGTTGGGGTCTGCAGTGTCCTTTAGAAGGCAGTTGACGGCAAGCAATCCAACCTCCTCGGTTTGCCTGCATCTGAAACACGCACAAAGAGGAAGTTTTAGGTGTCTCAGAACAACGGTCTTGCACTTCATGCTGTGGATGAACCTCTGGAGCAGCTGCATTTGAGATTACCAGTCATGGACACATTATCAGTGAAATCTGACGGTGCTAAAGTGATCTAATGCGAGAAAAATTACCCTGCGACAGTTTTCTTTACAGTCGTCGCAAACTAAAAAGGTTACAATGTTTTTCCATATCATAAGAACAGTTAAGATGCCACAAACACACACAATATATCCTATATGAAAAAAATTTGTGTAGCTGAAAGGGCCAATTCTGTACATTTGTTAACAACACAACACAGAGTACAATGTGGAGAACTATTAGAATTCAAAAAGAGCTGTAGCAAGAAGTAACAGCCTTTCCCGCTTTTTGTGATAAAAATTTGAGTTAGCTTTATCGACCTTTCTTTTTTCTTTTTTTAGGGGGAAAGAAGGAGGTTTTCTTTCGGCGTTGATACGCCGGTTGCTTGGCGCACCCACGTTTCAATAACTGCAACAACGTCTTTGCCAAGTAAAAACAAGTTACTCCAGTGAAAGAGCAACGGGTTACAGTTAACCGAGTCGGAGAATCAACCAAACAACAGAAACGCACATGGATACTGCAATGTGTACACCATGCGTTACGATATATGTATTCGTTACCGCATGCGTGTACGGTAACGTAAACACGCGGAGTACGCTGGTTAGCAAGCAAGGCGAGCAGCTCACCTTGAAACGTAAAGGCACGCAACTTTCTTTGACAGGATGTCTTGCGAAGAGAGGAGTTTCACGAGTCTCCCCGTTAAAGGCGATAGATCGTGCCCACTCGCTATGTGTGAGTACACCTGCAAATGTGAGCGCAATTTCAGTGTGCTTCATAAACTCTCTATGCGGCACATTCGCAACGTCGCTCAACCTTCAACGCTACCAGATTACGTACCTTTCTTAGCAAAGTTCTCGCGAAGCGGACATCGTTGACTCCACAGCACTGGTCTAATTGAGAGGCCAAGCGACTGATTTCTGTCTGCATCTTCAGCGCCGAGACCTTAGCGTTGACATTTGTCGAGAAAAGGCTACATTTGCCTGCTCTTGTACGTAGCTATTCAAAGAACTTCTTCATAGCGAAGAAGTGCACGGTATGCGTAAATACTGCGAATATCTAAGCGAAAGTTAATGACAGGCTTTCTCAGTCAACGCCATGGGTCAACGCAGGCATGGGCGCCGCCATGGATGATCCCGCTAGCGATCAGTCCGCTGCTGGCAGAAAAGTCTTGTAATGCCGCGGTATTTAAATCACGAGCTTCCCTGGTTGGACTAAGTACCACGCTCTGGATGCCAACGCTCACATATAGAACCCAAAATATCAGGATGTTCAAAGCCGGTCGTTAAAAAAAAGCTCACCAGACAAAACTTCGCGTTCGCTTCCTTCCCTTGATTCGGATCATATGTGATTGAATATGTAAAATGCATCCACATATACATATCCCCCCGCCCCCTTCATTTACATAAAAGCAGCCTATGTGGGCTGGAAGTCGAGCACTCAAGCACATCACACGAAAGCTGTGAAGATATGTAAACAATGGGGTAGCAAAGGGGTGGTGGCACATCAAACCCATTCCTTTCCCCCCCCCCCCCCTTCACTTTTTTTTTTTTTTGCCATAGTTTTCTCAATATGCACTAGAGGGAACTCTAACGCACAGTGCTTCAGTGAGCATGGGAATCATGCATAGAGGAAGGAAACAACTCATTCATCCCTCTGTGGAATTGCGGCTTTGATATTGCATGATTTGCCTAGTCTTCGTATTTTACGTTCTTTCTGGCTTCGCGTAGCTTGAAGCTGCTTTGTCCCGCAACAACAACCGGCAAATGTTCGGCAGTTACGCTTTACCCCTTTATTCTTTTAGGCTTACCACTTCAAATTGAGTCACTAAATGCAAAACGGTTTGCTCCTTCCTTCGGAACAAAACCCGAGCACAGCAATAAACGAAACCACAAGTGCGTTCGCCGCCCGCAAGTACGAAGACTAGGCAAATCAATGTCATACCATCTATGTCATTCCCATGGTTGCTGAACGATCGCAGCGCCAGAGTCTCCTCTAGTTAATTTGAGGAAACTCTGCGGTTTTTTTTTTTTTTTTTTTCATGGCATACCGAGAACAAATTGGCAGATCCCACGAACGATGGGAATCGACGATATGCGAAGCACGAATGAGGAAGTTTGACATGTCACTTTAAAATCAGCGCAGCGTTACAAGGGGGATGTAAATCATGCCGTACATGAGATCTATGTCATTAATATCAAGATGATGATAAGGATTCCCAGAAGAAAGGCACTACGTGCACCAAGGGGAATCGGCCTTTGGATATGTAATTTACCTTCGTTGTCTATTCACGTCCCGTGATATCAAATTTGGTATATGTAGAGCTAACGAAATGGTTGTGAGCACATTATGAGCATAGCATGTAGTCATGTTTTAGATGACGCGTATGTAATTATTATCATTATTGGACGTGTCATTTAACTTCGTCGTCTGGGAGATGATTTGGACTCCAACCAAAAGTTTTGAAGAAACTCGATGTTTCGAAACCGACTTGGTTCCTTCCTCGGGGGTGACTGCGAAGACTATGTAGCAGCAGCGTATTCAAAGCACTCGCGGATTGGATAATGACCTCTCTCTCTCTCTCTCTCTCTCTCTCTCTCTCTCGTTTTGCTGTGGAGCGCCGTCCGTTTGTATACACTGGGGGAAGGGTTCCGAGAAAGTGGTTGATGTTATGGGCTGTCCTCTGTATGTGCCACGACTCGAGTAGTAACCTTCTCCTCCAGTTCGGCTCGCTTTCAAGGATGGCCATCGCTTCGAAATTTATCCGGTGATTTAACGTCTCAGCATGTTCGGTGACTGCGCTGCTCTCTTTGTAGAACTTCCGCACATTGTTGGCGTGTTGGTTCAGTCGTTCCGGTAGGTTTTTCGTCTCGCCGATATACGAAGAGGCACTTCATATAAGTGAAGCACGACCTATACAGCTCCAGCGTTGCAGTAAATTGAGAGGCCTAGCAGTTTTCAGCTTCTTTTAACAACAAAGGTGCAACTTCAGTTCTTTGCACTCACCCCACTATCCCCGCTGCCCGAAGAACGAAACTGAAACTGTAGAAAAAGATCCGTAGACTGGCTAACGTGATCCAATCCGAAGCCAGTACTTCCCATAATTCCCATGAGGGTACACGATTGCAGCGCCAGATTCCCCTCTAGGTATTATTGTATGAAACTCTATGTGTAACTGTAACACGTCTTTACTGGTAACGTGCCCGTAACTGGCTGGGTCAGGGGTTGCGTGGCCGAAGCGAACACGAGTGTTCATCGTGCTCGGAGCAGTCAGCGGCACATGTCGATAATGCTAATACTGCACTCCTCTTCCCAGCAAGCGTGTTGGGAAGAATTTTTTACCGTATATTTTTTTTACCAATATCGCTGCGTTATACTGTTTTAATAATGATTTAGATGGGTAACTAAAAAACTGGCAGATCCCACGTACAGTGAGAATCGATGATATGCGAAGCACGAATTAGAAAGCTTGATATGTCACTTTAAAATCAGCACAACGTTACGAGGTGGGGTAATAAGTGATGCCGTACATGACTTCCGTGTCATGATTGTCATGTTTGGATGTGTCGTTTACCTTCGTCATCTATTCACGTCACGTGATACCAAATTTAGTGTATGTGGAGCTAGCGAAACGGCCGCGAGCACGCTATGAGCCTGGTATGTTGCCATGTTCTTACATGTCACGTGTGTCATGCAGGATTATCATGCTGCGTTTCGCGCTGATGCGTTATCCAGACAACACTGCGTCTCACGCTTTTCGTGACGGAGGGACGCCGGACGCGCTGAAACGCGCATGCGTCAAAGCAACGCAGCACGGCTTGCGCCTGCGAGTATATGGCAAGACCGGCGCCTGGCGTGGCAACGCCGGCGTGATGCGACGAAGTGAACGCCGGCAAGCACGAGCATCGCCTCACGTCAAAATGTATTGGCGTCTTGACTGTGGCAAGTCATGTTCTCACATGATGCGCATCTCATGATTATCATTTTTTCACCAGTAACATACCTTCGTCATCCATTAGCGTCACGTAATACCAAATTTGAAGCTATCGAAACGGCCGCGAGCGCATCATTAGTGTGGCATGTATAGTCATGTTGTTACAAGACACGGAGGTCGTGGTTATCATGTTTGTATGTGTCATTTACATATGTCGTTCGTTCGCATCGCGTTATACCGAGTTTGGTACATGGGAAGCTAGCAAAACGTCCACGAGCACATCAATGAGCGTAGCATGTAGTCATGTTGTTACATGACACGCATCTCATGTTTTTCCTGTTTGCAACAGTATCATACCTTCGTCATCCATTGGCGTCACGTAATACAAAATTTCGCATGTGTGAAGCTATCGAAACGGCCGCGAGCGCATCATGAGTACGGCATGTAGTCATGTTCTTACATGACATGCATCTCATGTTTACCATCTTTGCACCAGTCACATACCTTCGTCATCCATTCACTTACCGTAATACCAAATTTGGTATATGTGACGCTAGCGAAACGGCCGCGAGCGCATTATGAGCTCGGCATGTAGTCATGTTCTTACATGACACGCATCTAATGTTTATCATCTTTGCACCAGTCACATGCCTTCGTCATCCATTCACGTACCGTAATACCAAATTTCGTATAGGTGACGCTAGCGAAACGGCCGCGAGCGCATCATGAGCGTGACATGTAGTCATGTTGTTGCATGACACGCACGTCATGATTTTCATGTTAGGGTCTGTCACTTGTGTTCGCCATGCAATCATGTCATACCATATCAGTTTTGCAACATCCCATGTGAATGAAACCACCGCAAGAGCTGCAGGACCATGACACGTAAATCATGACATTCATGGCATACGTGTCCTGATTTTCATGTTATGACTAGTCAAATATATTCTTCATGCAGTCATCTTATGCCATATCAAGTTTGGTATTGATACTATTATTGAAACGGCCAGGAGAGCTAAAAGTCGTAGGCGGCTAGATAGATAGATAGATAGATAGATAGATAGATAGATAGATAGATAGATAGATAGATAGATAGATAGATAGATAGATAGATAGATAGATAGATAGACAGATAGACAGATAGACAGATAGACAGATAGATAGATAGATAGATAGATAGATAGATAGATAGATAGATAGATAGATAGATAGATAGATAGATAGATAGATAGATAGATAGATAGATAGATAGATAGATAGATAGATAGATAGATAGATAGATAGATAGATAGATAGATAGATACGATCAAAGCCACCGAAGTTCGCTAAGAAATGCTAAAATATATTTTTGTAACAATTTTTCATGTGCCTGTGCATGCTGCATTCCGTCATGATGTTCTGTTGGATTGTAAATGATGTTCACTGTTTTTGAGAATAAATTTCTCCAAACACTATCAACCAACGTCGGTAAATACCGGGACAGCTCAAGGCTCTCCCATAGTAGAGTACACCGTACCAAAAACCGTCGACCATTTGTTCTAAACACATCCTTACTCAGTCGATCAATGTCATGTATGCGCTCCTGTACACCCCTCTTATATGGCACTTGCGTGCATGGCTGTTACATTCATGCAGACAGCTGCCCTTAGGATGTGGCATGATCTTTTGTCAACTTGGCGTCATCAAGTGTGAGGCCTATTATTTTTTATTTATATGGGGGGTTTAACGTCCCAAAACCACTATATGATTACGAGAGACGCCGTAGTGGAGGGCGTCGGAAATTTCGACCACCTGGGGTCATTTAACGTGCACCCAAATCTGAGCACACGGGCCTACAACATTTCCGTTTCCATCGGAAATGCAGCTGCCGCAGCCGGGATTCGTACCCGCGACCTGTAAGTGAGCAGCCGAGTACCTTAGCCACTAGACCACCACGGCGGTGCAAGTGCGAGGCCTATACGGGACGTCTTTATGCTCTCCCATAGCAGAGTACCTAGTACTTTAAATTGTTAATCCTTTTTTTTTTAAACACAGGAGAAAAGGAAGTGGAATAGCATATATGATTCTCCCAAAATGGAGCACGTGTATTGCTCTGATGCGTTCACAGTTTATTCTAAACATGGGAAATATGTTGCGGACAGCCGCTTACAGAGCTCCCACATGTACGGTACGTGGTACGGCGAATCGTTGACTATTTGTTCTAAACACACTGTTTCCTGCTGTTTGTTACGTGCTGCGATGGCATAAAATACTTCTAAACACACTAACAAACCAACGCAGTGAGGCGGTGAGGCGCACTGGTACGCCTATTGTTAACTTGCGCAAACCTCTTACGTCTGTAATCCACGCCTCTCGCCAGCCGGACAGCACGTATTTGATCTTTGATACGCCTCTCTAACGTGCAAGCCGGACGGTTTATAGCCTATACGCCCATAGCATCCGCAAACCAACCTCCTTTGGCAGCGCTCGCCCCTCGTGCTCCATGCTCTGGTCACAGTTTTCAACCCGGTCCTCCTATAGGTACATACAACTCAATGTTGCCCACAAGAAACACGACGAGGCGGTGAGGATTGGCCTCCCCGGCCCTATGTGGGAGCGGCCCGCGATCCCGCTAGCCGCAAACCGTATACGTTGCTCAAAGCGGCTGATGTATTAACGTTCGTTTAAAGGAGCATAATCAACACATTACATCTAGCATTGCATTGCAGTAATTGAAGGTGCTCTCCCGTGTTCGTACACGCGGAAGCTGTTTCTAGGCACAGTAAAAAATTAACTCGTGAAATTATCGAGGCTTCTCACGTTAAATAAGTGGGAGACGCATGCGAGAGCCATACGCCGATATTCTTAGCTGACAAGGAGTTAGCTTATCTGTTTGGCTCATTTAATATCGGGTGGCGTGTTTTGAAATTTTGTTTCTTAAAGATGCGCAATGGTTTGTGCCAAACGATTTGTTTCCTGTCTCACGCGAATGTCTACTATGCCCGACGTCGTTTGCCCGTCTTGGTTTCTCGAAACAATTCTTTCAGTTGCGAGATACCACCCGTTTATACTCCGACATTATAAAGCAAAAGCTTTAGTGACAGTGGGGCAAGATAGAAGTTTCTTTTTAGGTAACCTAAAGTCCTACTCGTTATTATGTAATGAACGTGATGTTTCTATGATAGGCCACTACAAATGGGGACACCAAGGTAGCCATAAGAAGCGGTACAATTCAATGGAATATGGACTCGCTCGCTGGATTTCGTGCCGACCGGTTGTGCCCCCGCGATCTCCGACGACAGCGCAGCTCTGGCCGACTGGCTCGGACTCCTGCGTTCTCGGACTCGGACTCCTGCGACCGTGTCCATCTTTCCTGTCTTCTCCTTGCTTCAGCGCCTCGCTCCTCCCGCTCCATCTTGATACCTTTGAATCCTATCTTTTTAACCCCTCCTTACCCCCATCCCTCGTGAGCTACTGTAGAGGTGTCCTCCCCCTGAGAGACAGTCACGGGGCTCACTTTTATCTTCTTTTCATTTGAAAATCACCCCCCCCCCCCACCCAATGGAATATTGTTAAGAGAGCAAGACGGAGGAGTAACATTGCACAGGGTTACGCGCATGCTTTTGCACTTCGCAACATTCAGCTCCATGCGGTAAGTGTGGCACCACTCTTACGATATTTTGTTATGATGTCACATCTGAATAACTGGTTATTTTTCGGTGAATTACACATTCATCAGCAAATAAACAAGCTTGGGAAGAAATGTTGGCAGGTAAGGCGTTTATATAAATGAATAATAACAGAGGGCCAAGGACTGACCCTCGCGTACGCCGAAACCAACTGGTGCCAACGAAGAAGAGTCAAAACTGCTGGCTGTAATGTACTGCACAAGGCAGGACGGAAATTCTCGAATCCAATCTATTAGTTGAGGGTCAATATTAAGAGCACTTAGTTTATGTAACAGTAATGAGTGATTAACTTTATCAAAACTTATAGCAAAATCTAAAAAAAAATGCTACCTACAATGTAACCAGAGTCAACGTATACACGAAATGGTGGTTTTGGGACGTTAAACCCCACAAATCAATCAAATCAACGTATACACGCAAGTTGTCTGTGAAAGTGATTAGTTGCGTCTCACACGAGAAGGATTTTCGGAAGCCATGTTTGCAAGGCCGAGAAAAAGCTTTTATCCTCTAGGTTAATTGACAACATGCGTGAAGATGATGTGCTCAAAAGTTTTACGTGGAACTTACGTAAGTGAAATAGGTCGAAATATTAAAGTATTCTCGTAATATGCCTGTAAAATAGCCACGTAACATCACATAGCTTTCGCCTTCAAGTCGTTTTAAATGCATAAAGTGGCCTATGAGCTTTTAAACATTTATTTTAATGGAAACATGTTTAATCACATACAATCGCACACTATCCTATCCTAAAAGAAGCGCACTCCTCGATTTCGTCACAATGCTGTTTACGCTATTGTGCGTAAGTAAAGTGGGATAATATTCTGATCGCCGACACCGCAACTCCACAACACGCAAGTGACGTGACCGGCTGCACCGACATCGTGGGCGACATCGTGGGCGACATCGTGGGCGTTTCGGAAACAGACGTGCAAAACGTTGGCGAATCTGGGCGCGCGTTAAGAAGCGCATATTACTTAAATTAACCTAAAGCATTTCACCGAACAGGTCGCGCTTCGTAGTTCCATGTTGTTTGAGCACACAAGACTCAAAAACCAGGTTATATCAACACTTGAGACAAGATTGGCTTCTTTTGCAAATTAGGCAATAAGCCTTTTCAGAGTACGAAGAGCACGAGCTTTGAGATTATTAGAGTAAGCGGCTACATTGCTCCACTGATGGACATCAAGGTCGCGGGGTCGATCCCGGCCGCAATGGTCGTATTTCAATGGAGGCGAAACGCCAATGACCCGGGTGCTGTGTACTCGTGAAAAGAACGCCAGATAATCGAAACTTCCGGAGTCCCCCACCGCGGAGTGCCTCCTCATATAGTGGTTTTATATTTAGCAAGAGTACCATTCTTCACGAGCCACAAAAACACAAAAATGCCGATGACGAAACTCAACTTTCACCCAACATTTCTACCGTCGCTGCTATACAACCTACATAAGTGTTTGTTGGTGAAACAAGTTCATAGTGTTCCGTGGAAGTCACAGGCCATGACATGACAAGTTACTTAGAATTGATCGGCGCAGTGTAGTCGAAGTGCGCGGCTTCACCTGATGGCGTCACAAAGACATTCAGGCGGCTCTACGAGAAATTCCAAAACGTATTATTCTCTCCATTCCCTTGTGCAACGAATAACACGTGATATCAGAAATAGCGGCAATAAATTTACCCAGGAAAGTGATTTATCAGTCTAACATCAGGCATTCACGCATTGTGCCACAACTGCACAACAAACCCTATTTGGGAATGTATTAAAACTTTTTTTATTGCACGTAATCTCTATACAAGTGATTATGTCGAACATGATGCGGGATGAACAAGAAGACACGAGCGTGAAGTTATCACAGGAACTCTTAACCAAGGTAGTTTGGTGGCAGCCGCACATTTCCGAAGTGGCGTATACACTATTCCACTGTTCCGTTCACAATAACCTACAAGCAAAGGCTGTTCGAACGAAACTCTACAGGACGAACAGCCTCTCATTTGATTTCCTTCCCTTACACTTTTATCTCATTTTCTTAGCTCTGAAGTACTAGCGACTACAATAACCCCGTGTATTTTAAAACTTGTTTGAACTTGAGGTCCGGACTTTGAACTCCAGGCGGAGTAAGGCACGTTTCATGAGCGGGAAAAAGGCACGTTTCATGAGCGGGAAAAATGTGAGCGCGGTCGAGGGAGTTGATTGCACGCAGAACGCTTTTCACGCCCAGATGAGGACTTGCTGCAGGAATTGGCTGCTGACATATCTGCGGTCCAGGTCGAGCGGGAAGAAGTGTGGGAAGGCCTGCGAAGAGTGCAGGCCTAGCATATCCAGTGGAAACCGGTTGATCTGGGACATCCTGCGTAGAAAACAGATATATGTACACATCTGGTTGTCTTTGCGCACAAAGTAGGTTATGTCATCAGCCTTGTAAACAAAAAAAATAAGAACACCCTTTTATACTGGGGAAGATGAATTACTGAGGCAAAACGCTACTAATCAACATGTTTCCATAAAAAAAAAAAACTAGCGAAAAACGAAGACGTTGAAGTCGTGAACCAACCTTGGATTAAGTCAGCAGCGAAAGGCTTCTATGGAACAAACTGCCTCTGGGACGAAAACGTGTCACCTACACTAAACACTTTTCCGGCTCTCGTTTTACCGCGAAAGAGACGACGCCCATCAGTCCGCAAAAGAAAGGAAAGAAAGCAAGAAAAAATGCAAAAAAAAAACGCCTGCTGTAAGGTTGCCACTTTACACACCAGAACTTCGTATATCGGCTGATCAACAACGCATGCACGAACCTCGTAGACTCAATTTTTATCGATTTTATATTGCACGCAAGGAGACAGATGGATTCAGTGCAAGGCCTTGTCTGAAGGCTTCCTATTATCTTGGCATATTTGTTTCTGTGTTATTAAACTACATCTAGGCGAATCTTTCTTTATTCGCCTATGATCAGTCGTTGCGTAAATTACGTATACTATTCCTCTAAATCTACTCAGAGGTGAAATGCATTAAGTCAACATAAAGACAACGCAGTTTTTTGGGGTAATAAATGCTACTAAACAAGAGAACTCGTTTGTACGTACTGTAGCCCTCATCGGTTTCACAAGGATAATTTGAAGCGTGAGCAGCGGCTTTGGAAATATAAGCAATGTTCACTCTGTAAGCTTAATTTTTCCAAGTTCACGAAATTGACTAGAATGTTTCCAACTACTGACTGCAAGACACAACGCAGTCTTCTAGAGAGATCCTGCAAATGATATCAAACTACGACAACTAGGTATACATATAGCACTGTCCAGTCACTGCGCATGCAGCCTTTATTACACTTGAACATCATGCTATTAGCGTTTTTTAACATACAAATAACTTCGCAATCAACAGAAGTTGCAACACGTGAACGGCATTTCATACATTGACATGCCTCGAAATAACCAATGGCTCGTTGTAGGCATATTTCTTTTATAGCCGGGACCACTACGTCATTGCATGATACGTACAGCCTTCCGGATATGTCGTCCAGGAACTTGCGGTACTGTGGCCTTAGGTTGTGGGGCTCCAAGATGGCCTGCGTTGCAAAAGACACTACTTGTTTCGCAATCACTTTATCATTACTGCAAGAAACCACACGAGTGATATATTACCGTACTACATGCAACTTTGTTTTCACCTTTTTATAGATCGATCGGCAAAGCCATTCACAAATTAAATCGCTGCAAGCTGGTTCTTCGTGCCTACTACTTAGCACCTAGCGATGGAATATTTTAATTCCACAATGAGTTACTAACAGCCATCTTCCAACATTTACTGCCAAGATTACTTTAAATAGTGTCAAGACTACTTTAAACACTAAGCAAGGGGATGTGACTGTGGCACACGAAACCATTAAAGCATTGCAACATTTTGTATAACACGCCAAAATAACCATTCGTGCCCTTCTACAGTGACCTAGTCAGTGCTTTTGCAATATTGTGTATACTGAGACTATAATAAGTATTTTTATACTTAAAAAAAGACCACTGTATTTTGTACCTTCGGTAAGACTTGACTTGAAAAGTCCGGCAGTAGATATGCTTGCCACAAAGTAAACAAAACAAGAGTGCTCGAATCTCCCACCAATCGAATACCGACAGAAGCGAATCAAATCGAACGTCGAATACTTTTCAGATAACTTTCAAATACCGAACAGCAATTTTTTTTTTACTATTCGTGTAGAATGCTTACATCCTAGTATTAACATTATTAGCCTTATAACGACAGATCCACGGAGTGTGAGGGAAAAACGGTGATTATTAGCACGAGTGCCGAAGACCACTGCACTGAATAAAATTTCGGGTTTTACGCTCACACTGCATGTTCGCAAAACCGAAACATACAATTTCGCGACAATCTCGAGTTTATTACGATGCAGTTGGAATTTCGAAATATTCGAAAACTACTCGAAAATATTCGTATTTATGAAGTGCAGCGTCCTTTGGATTTGAGGACACTGTATAATAACTTCCAACACACCGATTTGGATGCACTAGTCAGGTTCGATAAGGTTTCGAATATTTCAATGCCCGTAGTACCTAAAGAGGAGACTACTTGCTGGGCTCGTTGCACGTGCACTGCTGCAAGAGAATAACGGCCAACTTACGACGTAGAGCATGATGCTCGTGCACACCGCGTAGAGCCACACCGCGGCACTTTCGAACTTTGGAACGAGCTGCCGCTCCGCACTCTTCAGGTAGACGAGCTGCGGGAAAAGGTGGGCGCGTGTAAGTATACGCCAGCGATTAGAGCCAGCGGAAGAAGCTTTGAGTGAAAAGACGAACAAAAGACACGGGGGGAGGGGACGCTCCTCGAAGCTCTTAAGGAGGCGCGAAGTCTTTGTTGACTTTCCTGCAGTGCGCAACTTCACGTCTCGTTGACCCGTTCACATTAATAGCACGTTATACGCCTGGTAACAGCACTGAATAACTTTAGAAGTTTACTAAAAAAAGAGAGACAAAGCTATCTTACTACTGATCAAGAACCGGTGGCTAGTGTATTGATTGAATGTTTGAATGTTTACTTCGTAATCTATGTGCAGATAACAAACACTTGTCGGAATTATAGCCAAAGGCTAGTTGAAGGTCTAAAAAAAAAAGAATACATATAGGAATATCGTAGCACAGCAGGGCAAAAAAAAAAAGAAAGAACAGAACGGTTAGGTAATATTTTCAATATGCGAAAAATTCAAGATTAGTTGATCAAATCAAAAGTAAATAATCAAATCAACCAACGAGCATCATACAATAGAGTACCTAAGATCAAGGTATACGGGCTACATACAGATACAATGAAAAATTGCGGTGCCATTGATCGAGAATCTATGCAGTTGGTTTATCTGTCTCCGAGATTGGTCCACCTTTTGACCGAGTGATTATTTGATACGATGTCCCCGCGACGTCATAAATCGGCATGTGTTAGGATCACACCGCGACGTCACAGCAAGATATCCACCCGGCACTCGCCCCGAGAAGTTCACGTGGGCTTTAACAGCGGAGCTGTTCAAGGCGGCCATTAGTCCGCGAGCTGCGAACAGAAAATTATGATCATGAACCAGCCCGTGCCGTCTTCGTCCTCCTCTTCAACTTCACTTCCAGAACACGTGCGCTAATCACTCCGGCGTGTGACGCAATAATTCATGCACGAGATGAGTACACAGAGAAAAATGGAAGAAGCTAATATCATGGAGAATTTTTTTTTTTCGCGAGGCACGATTTGAACCCGCGTACCCACGATCCTGAGGCGGGCGTCGTAAGCACTCTGCTTTCAAGGCACACGAGCACAGCATGGTATGGTATATTGTAACGCACAATTCGGATAGTATAGGAACAACAATTTATTAAGGGGCTAACTTGCGCCCGAAAAGCTAAGGAAAAGGTAGCATCAAACGAGCGACAGAACAAGGACTGTTGGTGTCTTTTTTTTGCGCTGCACTATACACTATGATAGACTTGTTCCAACTCGCCCAGCAAGCAACGTTTCTCAGGCTAGTATGGTCGCTCGCGGGGAAGTCAGAAAGAACGAATCTCTGAATTCAAAGCCTCGAGTGGTGCGCCACTTTATCGTCGAATTCGGCCTTGTCTTTTTTCGTCACCGCGCCACAGGTCTCTCGAAGGGCGCACCAGCTTGCGCGCGTAGTTTGAATATGATGTCTGTCTTGCGGCAACATTATCGGAAGGGGTGGGAAATGGAAGTTATGATGAGGGAGGACACATGTGAGGGTAGGAAGAGGGAAAGGAGGACGGAAAGGATTCAAGGATAGCAAAAGAAAAATAGAAAGAACAAAAAGCAGAAAGAAAGAAAGAGACAAAGGGACAGAATCAGAGCAAGAAAGAAATAGTGACAGATAGAAATATAAAGCAAGAATTACAAAGAAAGAAATAGAGAGAAGAAAGTACGAACGGCAGAAAAACCGTGAAATAAAAAATAGAAAGAAATGAGTAAATCGAGATTATCAGAAGCAAAGACGACGTGAGAAAACCAAGAGAAGAGAGAAAAAAAAATAGAGCAAGCAAAAGCGAAAATTCGTACGCAATATCCGAAGGTTCAATTAAATTTCAATTCAATTCAAATTTTTGATTGATATGATTGACATGTGAGGTTTAACGTCCCAAAACCACCATATGATTATGAGAGACGCCGTAGCGGAGGGCTCCAAAAATTTGAATCACCAGAGGTTCTTAACGTCCTCCCAAATCTGAGCACACAGGCCTACAGCATTTTCGCCTCCATCGAAAATGCAGCCGCCGCAGAAGGGATTCGATTCCGCAACTTGAGGGTCAGCAGCTGAGTATACCTTAGCCACCCCGGCACGGCCCAATTCAAATTTTTATTTACCAGACAAAACTGGAAGGTCGCCAAGGCTAAAAGCCATGAGAGCGACTTGACAAGGCCCCTGCAACTTGTACACACACATGGTAGCAGGGCAGAAATTATTCGAAGTATACATAACACGCAAGTACAAAATACACGTCACAGTACATACTGTCCACGTTTTTTGGGTATACGTTCGGTCTCTACCGGAGGCAAAGTTGATTTCTCATCCACTACGATTCATTTCCATTGATGCCATCGTGGCTGTACTGCAGTAAAAACCTACACTACACCCAATGTGCCTCGCTTGCTTTCGCTGTCTCTCGGTTTCAATAGGTTTTGTCTCATTTCCCTTCGATTCGTTCATACTGAGCCCTAAGTGGCACCAACCTCGATGAGTTTCCAGAGAAGGTACAGGGAGAAGTACGAGCTCGGGTACGCAGCACACGCCAGTCCACCCGCACTGCCAGCCACCAGGCCGTGCCAGTCCCGTTGACTGCCGCTGAACCAGCGGAGTACGCAGCTGCTGAGCTGAAAACGGGGGAGGAAAACAGAGCATTTCAATAAAGTAGTGTTTAGGGCGGACAACAACAGCAACATTAATAATAATAATAATAATAATAATAATAATAATAATAATAATAATAATAATAATAATAATAATAATAATAATAATAATAATAATAATAATAATAATAATAATAATAATAATAATAATAATAATAATCGGGGACTTTGGGTCCCTAAACCACATTATGCTTGTGAGAGACGCTATAGTGGAGAGCCCCGGAAATTTAGACCATACGGTGTTCTTTGACGTTGGCGTCTAGGTTGTGAACTTGCGTGCGTACCACAGCTCCTATACTGATTATCTCACCCGGGTGGTACGATGTCAATCTACTAATCAAAGTGACGTTTCTGACTGCTTTATAATGCGGACTGTTAATGAGCACCCTTCGAAAAAGCAACAATGAGCAGGTGCAAAATTAATCAATCCGTATATGCGAAAGATCAAAGAGGCGCCTCCCGTATTTCCCGAGGCGTTCGTTCTAGGAAATGATAATGAAATTGAAATTAATAAATTAACCACGTAACACCGGGTATGGACGCACCTGTAAGCGAAAAATGAACTCTACAGCTGTGTAACGCATGGCAAAACAGTTAAAAGGCACATTTTAAGTTTCGGGCAGTTACATTTTTGCGAAAGGCTGTGCGTACATGTTAGAGGGATCATGATCATATAGTAACGCAGTTTACGTTAATTGCAGATGTACAGCACTGGAAAGAGACTAGAAAGGTGAGCTCATGCTGTGCGGAGAACGGTACAGTAGGTAGAAGTCGTGCATTATCCATAGATAAGGGTGGTATCGGGTCGGAGTCCCTGGTCGAGCTTCCGATCTCTGACCAGTGAGGGAGGGCAGGCACTGCGACCTGAAACTATGTTGTGTGTATATAGTCACTCATATCGAGGAGGTAGCCTCTCTTTTTCAATTCTCTTTAACGTGGGGTTTAAAAAGTGTTTTGTTTTAATTGTTGAATGAGCGGAAATAACTTCAATACACTTACTAAGTTTTTCTGCAGATTCCAAAACTCTAAATGCAGATTTTCAATAGTTGCATTTAAACAATAGATATGCCATTTCTAAGTCATTTTCCGACGTAATACGGCGATTTTTGGCAACATTGCTTTGTCAAAAAAAATTAAGGGGCAGGATTGTCCCAAAGCTAGTCCTGATAGTACTGCTATTCATTTTCCTAGATATTGTACATCGATAATTCTCGGTAATCATTATTATCATGTAGCGAAAACCTGCTCACTCATATTTTAATCTGTTTACATTGCATTGGAGGTTCGTCGAAAACAATCAGACAAGCATCACCGGCTAAAGCAACGCTTTGGCAGTCGCGTACCAGTAAAGCTATTTGAATGACCCATCTAAATGGAACGCCCTCTTTATAGGTTGGACTTTCTGATGTCTCAGTCAATGAGTACCTGATTTCACCAAAACAGCCTTCCACATAAGGCAAGTGAGCACTGGGGTCAATGGAGCTATAACCCTGGCAATGTAAGAAACAAGAGCTATGTTGGGCCACACTTCCTCCACACGTTCGACCGACACTGTTACAACGGTTTCACAATGTGCTCCCATAGACCCCGCCGTAGGGCGGTATTTGTGTCACCGCACAAACGAGGCGTCGTTCTTTTGTTTTTGTCGTCAATTGATTGCGACAGCCAGGGTCGCGAAGCACTGGCGCACAGCAATACCATGCGTGCATTGGCGCACAGCCTTGTATATAACATGAACAAACACTATAAAAAAAAACAGCTCGGGTTTGTCGCGCACCATTGCACGCGCCACTAAGGATAAAAAACAAAAACCAAAATAAAAAAATACAAAAGACAAAGCATTGTTCTTAGCCATGTGTGTGTGGGGGGCGGGGGAGAGGCACAACCAGGAAAGAAGAAAAGAAAAGATAGAACCACAGCGGAAGAATGCACCAGTAGCGTCCTTGTGTGGTTAATGAGCCGTCGATGCGCGCCAGCCGCGGACGACGGGACAGTTTCCCCGTGCGTATTGCGTTCAGCACGTGGACTTTGTGTTTACAACACATGTACGCACGAAGAAACCCATTCGTTATTAGCAAACAGAACCCAAGAAAGACATGAGACCAAGTATAGGAGGACCACACGCGCCGCACACGCTTCACGCATGATGTCGCGAAGGAACAAATCCATCGCACGGGTGACAACGCACAGCCGACTTCAAAACGTCGAGACGCTGATACAGTATGTCCCGGATAACTCAGGCCAAGCTCACTTGAAAGAAAAAAAAAAGGAAGAAAGGAATAGAAATAAATAAAAAAGAAAGAAAGAAAGTGAAGATGCGACCAAAGGCTTTTTGTTAGGGCTAGCCTTGCACAGATAATACTTTTTAAACAAACCCTAAATTGAAAAAAAAAATATTGCTTAAATAATTACTCGCATAATCGTGGAAATTCGGGTATACAAATGTACACGGAACATTAAAAAATTCTTCCGAAAGCTTTCCGACTGCTTCATTGTCGCCAATTACCTTTTCATTACATCAAAACAAAACTTGTGGTACAAAAAAAAAAAAGCAAGGACGCAAGCACACGGAAAACATTGAGCCCATCAACGCCACCAAAATACGTGTACTTACGCTGTAAATTGCCGTCATGCCGCCGAGGAAGCATCCCGTGCGAAGTGGCATCGGTCCCACAAACAGTCCGGAGAGCAGCTGTCGTATCCGCATCTTCCGGTAACCCTTGAATGCGCCAAATCCGACACCAGCTGCCCATCCGACAGAGCCGAACTTTAGGGCTATCTGCCGGAAACACCATAGACACGCAAAGAACGTTAGTGCACTTTGAACAAACTACGGAAGAGGAATGAATAGCTGATAATTGCAGACGAATGGTACTAAGAAGAATGAAAAAAAAAAGTACTGAACATATTCCTCACTCGTTGCAATAGTTCTTAGGCTATATACAGCGGTTGTTCCAATGGACTTTACTATCCGGATTTGACTATCGGTCGCGGTCCAATGCAGTAATAACGCGAAACCGACAAAGTACTAAAATTTCCTTTCTGTTGGCTCCGATTTTATAGCTCCGTTATTTAGGCTGTGGTTTTCTAGCGTTGATTTAACCACCTGGGGTTCTTTAGCGGGCAGCTTAATAAAATCACATGAGCCTCTAGTACGTCGCCTCAATCTGCGCCACCACCACATCCACGACCAGAATTCAAACCTCCGATTAAACAGTCGAGCACCATTAATACAATGTCTGAGCGTAATTCTCAGCTGGCACAACGCTCACCTTGACGAAATTGGCGAGGCAGCTGTGCTGGTGTCTGCAGGTGCAGTGACGGTCGCTCAGTAGCCGGAAGGCGCCGTTCAGAAGACGCAGGATGCCACCGCGAACACGCACACCTTGGTCGACGAGAAGTCCCCCGTTGGTGACTCCGTGCAGGTTCGCCCAGGATTTGGCACGTGGCGAGCCGTTCTTGTGGGCGCCGTTGACCTTAGCTTCGTGCTTGGTTCCGTTGACGTTGTCCGTGATCAGAGGCGGCGCCTCTGTGATGGGAGTCACGTCGCACAAGCGGACCAGCTTGTCGACGTCACCGGGCGCCCTAAGGAGCTCGGCTTCCCTGAGAGCCAGCTTCGCCTCCAGTTGGGCGTAGCCATCGAGTTCCTCCTTTCCGAAAAGGTGCCTGCCGAGCACGTCATTAAAAGCCATTACATCATCTCCGACTGTAGGGAACCATGTGGGGATGCGGAGCAGCGCTAGTGTTCACTTGTGTTTCCATTTGTATGTTTTATTTGTGCGTAGAGTTGTGAATATGTTGTGCACCGCTTATGTTACCCCCCCCCCCTTTCATTTGTAAGTATTGCCCTTTATTGCTCTGCCACATTCTCCCCCATCTCCTTCAACATCCACACGCTCATGCGATGAGAGAGTCCTACCATATCCTCACACTCACGTGAGGAGAGGGGGAGAGTTGGCGAAGCGGACGGTCACCCAGGGACGGACACAGTCCCCGGGCAAAGGCTGCTTCACGTTTAAAAAAAGTATCAGTATACTACTGAATCATTTGATGAATCTCTAATGGCGAAAATGTTGGATTTAGGCTGCGCCACCCTCTCCCTCTTGAAATCACTACCACCTCAATCACGTGACTTTCTTGTCATATGTTACTAGAGCTACGCTATTCCTGGTCAGTCCAAAATAAAAAAAAAATTCGGCATACCGAAAAAAACCGTAAAACGAAGACAGCCACTAAAGTTGTGTTTCCCGCATAATAATTCATATAACGGAAAAGCCAGTTTCGACGAGTGGCACTTTCGCAGCAGTTAAGCGAGGACAAATGCTCGCAACAAGTTTTATTGCGATAGCAATTATATGGACACTCTCAGCTGGATTTTGCCACCGGTGTCGGCGTCGATGTCATGCACCATATATGTTTACGTATCTATATATATGAAAGCGCTAGAAAGAAAAAAAATGCAGAAAAAAAAAACACTTCGGCGCGCGAAATCGAGCGTGGGACCTCTGCGTCGTGAAAGCGAGGCGTTAACTACTAGCCACCCCGGAGAACGTTCTTCAATTTTCAAACGGCAACCTACTTATATCTACGACTTACCATTCCTGTGTTTTTGGCATTACCAGAAAGATGGCGCAATGAGCACGCGTCATCCCATCGCGCAGCGGCGCTCACTGTAATCTCCTACGCGTACTTTCCCAGCTTAGAGAAGGGGAGCGACATTCTTTAGCACACCCTTATCTCGCGGTGGCGAAGAGGGGAGGATCGTACGCCTTGGCCTGGCCTTGGGCTTTACGTGGAACGATTCTGCTGTAGTTACCGGGCGCGCAAAGGTCACTGCAATCATTGCAGTCTCCGTTCGCGAAAAGCGCGCGCTTTTCAGAGTCGGCGAAGTAACGAATGAGACGCTTAATCGCGTGCATCTGTACCTGTGAGCACATTTCGTGCGGAACTTGTGCGCGAGAAACGCGGCGCACATTTCGATCTGCTTTCCATTCTGCGCGTGACCTTTCAAATTGTTGCTCTCGCATTCATTGCTTCACCTTTGCGACAAAGCTGCGACTTTTTTTTTCTTCAGTGGGTAAATATTTCTATATACACTCAACGAGAAAACTACCCTGCTGATTGTCTGTCCCGATGTCGCATAAAATAATCAGCGTAAATATATGAATAAATACTATCAATTTCCGAGACAGGGCCTGAACTCGGGCCCCCGCGCTCTCAAGACGAGTTTTTTAACCAAGCACACACGCCTGCAGAATATGAATATGTCTGAAGAATATAATGCGCTGTACTGCTGGAGCAAAAGGAATTTTGCGTTCAATTACACTGTAGCTGAATGAAACAAGCCTGCAGAAGCTGCAAAGCTGACATAAATGATCGTACGCTTCGGGAAAAAAAATAGAAAACTAATATCTGGGATTTCACGCCCTAAAACCACTATACGGTTATGAGCAAAGCCGTAGTGGAGCGTATCCGGAAATTTCTACCACCTGGTGTTCTTATACGTGCATCGAAATCGCACAGCACACAGGCATCCACCATTGCGCCTCTATAAAAATGAGGGTACCACGGTCGGAATCGCACCCGCGACCTTCAAGTCAGCGGCCGGGCATAGTAGCCACTGTTCCACCGAGGCGGACCGTCCCAAAAAAACCTGGCTGCGCTGAAAATTTAATCCCAAACATGTGCTTCGATGTTCGCGGGAAGCACGAACGAACCGCTCAAGTCGCCGACTAACGCTATAGAAGACAGACAGCATGCTGACTCCACCCGAAAACAACGGAACTCCGCGAAATGAATCCGTGAATATATCTTACCTCAAGAGAGTTGACACGACGTCATTGAAATGCCCATTTTTTCTGTGACAAGAAGAAACAGAGCAGTGTAGGTGAACGACGTTTGAAAGGGAAAAAAAGTAATTCTTGTAACCTACGTCATCACAAGCACTTTAAAACCCTGAAAGTGCTTTGTTTTCATGGCCGCCATACATTTGAGACTAGGAAACGCTAATTAAGTCACGACTGTATTCAAGAAAATCCATACGTACCTTGCGTAATAAATATATCCTCCTAGGCTAAGTGAGAACATCGCCACCTGCGCAGGAACAAAACATGAGAAACAAGAAGCTAAGAAAATAGCATACATTTTTTGAACAGTGTTGCTAATACACAAGAGGCAAACAAAGTATCAGCCGTATAGCACAAGCAAAGAAGGACTGGTTTCACCGGTCCCCTACTCGACCGGTACAGCTGTTGTATCTTGTCAAGTCCAGCATTCAAGGTATTTTGTATCTCACGGTAACACAGGAGAAGCACATCCCACCAGTGCTGCTCTTAAGGAGGCCCTGCAACACTTTTTCAGCGTGGTCAGCAAACGCTGCAGATCGGTAGTCGAAGCCTCTAAGAACACGCGAGGCTCATTATATGGCTAGGCACGCAGCCTGATATTCAGATTTGATTCCCAAAGTCCGCAGAAAATTCTCTTTTTTTTTTCAAAAATATTGCCATATGCCCAAACAACAGTACCGTAAACCCAAGCTTCACGGCCATTGGCTGATGCGAGCAGTGTGAGCTACACTATAGTTGTCGCAAACCTATAGACACCCCACCCCGGTGGCTTAAATCACTCGGCTGCTGACCCGCTGGTGGCGGGATCGAATCCGGGATCGAAACCACCATATGATTACGAGAGACGCCGTAGTGGAGTGCTCCGGAAATTTCGACCACCTGGGGTTCTTTAACGTGCACCTCAATCTAGACACACGGGCCTCGATCATTTTCGCCTCCACCGAAAATGCAGTCGCCACGGCCGGGATTCGATCCCGCGACTTGCGGGTCAGCAGTCGTGCATCGTAACTATTCGACCACAGAGGAGGGTACAGGAACTAACATACTCTTAACCTAATCATTCGCACAGATCTTTACTTGAAAGAAGCATAGGGTGAGTAGCCACTGTCGTGGTGCTTGTAAAAGTTCTGAAGTGACAATTTCCTTGATTTTTCACAACCGGAACTCCACATAAAGAGTTGCATAGCGCTAAGGCAACACGTGACACAATTAGAACATTCCCTTTACGGGAAATAGGTGTACGTTAATGCGTAAAAATAATGCCAACAATGTTGCTCAACAATTGAGGGTCTCACCTCAATGTTCGGTATGTCTGTGACAATTCCTCTGCTGCGAAGCATGCGGTAAACGATTTCAGAAGCCTGAAATAAAGAAAGACGAGCAAGCTGCATGTTCGCTCGAATCTCAGTGACAATATAAACACACAAAAAAACAATGTAGCGAATATACAGGAAAAAAAAGACCGTTCTCGACGCACTCACCAAATTCAGCATGTACAGCGCCAAAGCTGACCTCCTGCCGAAATGAGAAGCGAAGTACGCAAATTGCTATGAATACCCTTGACATGGATCTTATATGCGAATGAATCAGTATTTTGCGCGGCTCACAATGGGATGAATAAAATGCGCGGCTGGCGATTCTGTTTTCGGACTGGGTTCGAATGAATACAACACTGCATTATTTAAAATGTGTGGTGTATGAGCTGCCAGATCATGTATTTAATTTTAACAGCGGAGCCGTTTAAGCTCGAGTCTGCATGGTCCGGTGGTGCCCACAAAACTCCGCCAAGGAATGACGTTATCATGCATAAGGAGGATGAGGAGATGTGATGAGCAGAAATATTCTGAACGAGGCAGTATGCGAATTAGTGTCTACCCAGGTTCCGAAGGCTAGTGTCGGCTATCCATGCAGGCATCCTAGCAGAACAAGACTTTATTAGAAGAGTTTCCTGAAGTTAACTAGAGGGGACTCGGGCGCTGTGATCGTATTCAGCCGCTATGGGAATCGTAGGTAGTTCACGTGTTTGCCTAGTCTTTGTGCTTGTGGGCTTCGAACGCGTTTGTAACTTTTTTTATTGCTCTGTTTTATAGTGTTTGTTTTCATAAAAGACGGACCATCGTGAACATCATGAGCCAATTTTGAATTGGTGAGACTAAATGGTTAAGGTGGCGAAGTGAAACTGCTGAACGTTTGCCGACTGTCGTTACATGACAAAGCAGCTCAAAGCCACACGAAGCCAAACGAAGCCGAAAGTACGAATACTAAACAAATCCGTGTACTACCCATCATTGACATTATGCATCATTGACATGTTATAGTTGAAGCGCCGTGCGTTGCAGCTCCCATAGATACTAGCGCCTGAGTTTCCTCTAGTGTATTTATGTTATAGAGGAAACCATGGTGACAACAACGTCAATGTGACGCTATAACCGCGATGGTGAGAAAATGTCAGAGAGATAGAAAAGGAAACAGAGGGACAGAAAGTATAAGAGAAAGTAACGGATAGAGAGGAACAGAAAGAGCGATAGAAAGCATAGTATATAGCCATGTAGGTATGGTATATCAAGGAGGTGAGAAAGGGAAGCGAGGGTGAGGGATAAAAGAAAAGAGAAAGGCCAACAAGTCAAACGCGCATCTATCCGCATATCGCAAATTCTTATCGCAACAAGTACAGCCTTCATTTATTGTCGTTTTTTTTCTTCTTTTTTTTTGTCGCACTAAATATCAAAATCTTCGCATCGACGGTCGAAAATCTCCGACCATCGCATCGTGCGCTCTCTGGACGGCCCAAAGCTGATCCCCTTTGGGTACCATGCAAGCACATGTAGTTGCATGGTACCGACAATACGCCATAATTTATATAACGCGTTCACTATGCCACTTAATGAAGCCAACCCGGTCAAGTGACATAGTGGACGATTCGTATAAATTATGGCGTAGGGTGTATACCTTGCAAGTGTGCTTGTAGTAGTTGCCCCAAAAGTTCCGCGCATGCAAGGCGTTTTTTAGGGGCGAAGCTCCTTAGGGCGTGGGCTGTGCGTCCCCTGTAGCCTGTACGTAGCCACCTCTAGTTTAGTTCTTGCAGTGTTCACTAGATGGCGGTACCATCCCCTGTATGTAGCCACCTCTAGTTTAGTTCTTGCAGTGTTCACTAGATGGCGGTACCGTCTCCTGTATGTAGCCACCTCTCGTTTAGTTCTTGTAGTGTTTACTAGATGGTGGTACTTGTAGCTGATGATGAAAAGATGCAAGATGTTATAAACTAGAAAGCGGTACTTGTAGTTGATGAAAGACGCGAGATCTTATAAAATAGGAATGATGTCACATATGGCGCGTGTCATTGGTTGAAGGCAATCGTTCGATTTAGTGCGGCGACGTACGCTAGGGGGAGCGTTGTAATAAAATCCGTTCGCTGTTGGCGCGCGCTCGGAGTCGCCGGATGGATAAGGCTGCACAGCGGAGAGAGCGCAAGGCGGCAGCAGCGCGCGCTCGCAGACAGAATCCCGATGTGCGAGCGCGCGAGGCAAGGGACATCGCAAGCCATCCATCGTCTAAGAACAAATAAAAGTTGATTTGTGTATATACACACACAGCGTTTCTCACGTCTTTACATGATGATCGACTGGGCGAATTACACGGAAGATTCACAGTTTACCGATGAATCCCTCCGGAGCTTCGCCCATTCATCATCATTCACCCCGTGAATATGCCGTAATTTTTTTATTTTCTTTTTGTTCTGTTAAATATTTCAATTTACCTCGCGGTTGTACACTATTTAAACAACAATTAACGTCCTCTAAGCTTTATCCAGCCGAATGGTCGCTACTATTACTTTTGGTTGTTGTCTAACACATCGAGCCCCTAGAAATTATTTCTTTCGTAATACATGTGCGAGATGTGTACTGATATCACCCAGTAATGTGCACAACTTTTTTCTGTGTTTCTTCAAATAAACATTAGTTATTTGTTATTGGTGTTGCCAATTGGTTACTCCACCCCTGTCGAAGTGTGCGCTGTTGCATTTACATTAGACACCAACAAACCCAAGCTGCCCTTACGACACGGATTACACTCCGTGTCATGTAACCCTAAACTCAGCAAAACAACAACACCAACAGCAATACCAATAACAACACACACCCACACAAACACCCACACAAACACCAACACGAATGCCAACACAAACACCAACACAAACACTACGAACAATAATAATAATACAATTATTTTTAATAAAGAACTTTAGTATTGCTTTGCGTGCGCACGGGTTGTGCCAGATAACGTTCGAAAAGGTTAAATTAAAAATAATTAAAATAGGCACATTACAAAGTTATGAGACATACAAGGCGTTCGGTCATCCCTTCCGCGAACAACGCTGTATTTCAACCATTTCAGTTTTGGAGGAATGCGTTACCTTTCGGGTCGTTCGATTGTGATGGCAAAGGCTGAAGAAATGAATCCACAAAGCAGCGTGGACCGCATGAGATGAAGTCGGCCTGTCCACTGCCTGTGAGAGAGGAATAAATGCAAGAAAGCATTCTCTCAACGGCTGCTACCCACTGTTAACAATGTCACGTTTTTTCTTCTTTTTTCAAGCAAGAACACGAAGTTTCGCAGGCCCGGATTCAAACAGAAAGTGTGGCAAAAGGATGAGAAAGAAAATGCAAAAAAAAAAACGCGAACTATTTTGCGAAGGCACTATCTAAGTTTCGTATAGCAGTGAAACTAAAGACGCCTAGGAGCTCCGGGACCCCGGAAGTGCATACTGAACACGATGTAAGACACTGAGTAATGAGAACGAAAGGGGGAAGTGATAAGAAGAGAGGAAAGAGTGGCAATGGGTTGACACGGTCATCCGCCCGAGTTCGAAATTCGAATACGATATCACATTTTTTTTCCTGCTACTGTGAAATGGTGTCACATTAGGTGGGATCCTCCCACAATGCTAGTGAACACACAAGGACTACCCAGAACGACACAGGAGAAGCGCTATATTTTCCTGTGGCATTCTGTGTCGTGTGCGTAGTATTATGGAAGCGTCCATTCAAGCACCAACTAGCCCAGCTGAGTGCACTAAGGATTATATTGTTGCTGGTCCTCAGACTGAAGGAAGAACATCGTTCTCTAGGGCACTCAAGGATTTTGAAAGTGATACATTTAAATTCCATTTAACAAAAACAAAAAGAGCACCTTCACGGCTCTAACAGCTCTTAGGGAATTTTCGTAAGTGCTCTCGTACAAACCGCTCTCACAAAGTTAATCAGCACGCGCTATCCTATAAAGATGGTTGGTCAGTTTATGAATATTGACGTTCCAAGGCGACTCAGGCTATAGCCTGAGGCACGCACAGGGGGAGGGTGGGGACATTTAATCCCAAAAGACTGACTTGGTACAGAGCGGGGATTCAATGATTGCCCCCCCCCCCCCCCCCCGGCTCCTTCCCATGGGGGAATCTTACGGACATATTTGCATATAAAGTAAATTCAACTCGAGCACATTCATAAGAGCCAACATTACCGTTAGCGGCCAACTCTGCAGCGACGTGACGTGGTTATCAGGAGCAATTTCTCATACCATTCATTATACTAAAAAAAATTGATGTCGAGCTTCAATGCGTCAGTAAAACTGCGGAAGGAAAAAAAAAAACGTGGACAACATAGAGGAAGACACAACCAGAGCAAGCTTCTTGCCCATTGTGAGTGTTTTTACGTTGCACAGTCGTAATGATGCTACGAATTACACACTTGCATACAGTGCTGTTATCATTTCATGGTTCAATCCGCGAGTACTGTACACCCATTTAAGTACACATTCGAACGGCGTGAAAATGCTACGTAAAAGCCGTCTCTGAAGTTACGAAGCAGCAAATGCATAGCAGCCTGTCCCACTGAGGAAGCACGCTAAATAGGCCAGTGTTACTTCTTATCAAAACTGCATTCGACCATTCCCGACACGTTGTCCCCTGTGCTCGATACATATAACCTACACAGACTCTCGTTGACATTCGCTATATAGATGCAGCCGCATTAGTAGCATTCTCGAACACATTTATGCCAGAGGCTATCGATCCAGTGACCTAGTCTATTTTGACGTACGCGATTAACTCACTCAAAACTCTCCCGGCTGTAGACGAACCCCGAAGGAATGAAGGAATACCGGAAATGTCGCATATAGATAAGGTATCTGGTCCTGCCACTGTTCTTCTGGCACGGGTGGGAAAATTCCGGTTACGCGCCTCGCATAATGCGCGCGTGCGCGTCATTCGAAACATTTACACATTTTAGACGTTGAATGCAGCATGATTTGAAGGCACGAACCGCCACGTGTGTACCCCTGCACATGCATGTGCAATGAACTATATTTCATTGTGTGCTCATGTGTACGTGCGTGTGCGCGTAATAATCTTAACTGTTAGGGTTGGAAATACCGCAACCAAGGTATGCTTACAACAAACGTTGCAGCGGAGGACTCGAACATTTGCCCACCAGAGGTGCTGTAAGTTAATGTTCGCCTAAATTTAAGTCCACGACCCTGAAGCATTGTCGACTCCATCGAAAATGCGGCCGCCACCGCCGAGATTCGATCCCGGGACCTGCCGGTCAGCGGTCAGGCACCATGACCACTAGACCACCATGGCGGTTTGTCAGTTAAAATAATGTTTTCGTGATTGTGTTATTCAGTGTGCACATCTGGGATTAAACGAAAACAATCGTTCAACAGGCCACGGTGGCGGCGTCCATATATTGAACGTCAAAATGTCTAGCACACATAGACTGAACTAGCCCTTCTTACAACGATCTAAGCAGAAAAGTAGAATCCTGATAGGCCTTCGACGCCAAAGAACAGTGTGAAGTCACTGGTCTCGCCTTGACTGCCACCGAGTGCCAAGGGATTCTGGCTGATGGTTGGGGGTGAACGGGGGCCGAGGCCAAAACCTCCTTCCTCGTCATTCTCGCAGGCGCAAATAAATCTCTCTCTTTCTCACTGTCGTATTTGTGATTCATGACGTGTAATCATAAGTGTACTGAAACTAATCTTCGAAGCTGAGTAAGGTTAGTCACACAAATATCCTGCACGCAGAGGCGGCTGTGAGCTCAGTAAATGCTAAATGTTTTTTTAGAATAAATTTTTTCATGACACGGCTACTGACATCGACACTATCATGACGCCAGGCAACAGTGTCAGTTCTGGTACAGCGTAGATATGGTGGCTAGAAGGAGTAGCGTAGCTCAGGTGAGCTCGCACACCATTGTAGCACGCTGCGATTACGAGAGATACAAAAAAAAACATTCGAAATTGCCGCTTGTGCGTCACCAACAGAGCGCCACGGAGCGGAGTGGCCGTGGACGGGACAAAATGCTCATACCACGTTGAAACGTCGGGGTACAGTAGGAACCAAAATTAGCCTACAAAGCCTATTTTAATTTTTTTTTCAACGTGCACCCATGCTCACCAGTACATTTTCTAGGCTCTTGGGTGCTTGGTCTGTGTTATGACGAAAAAAAAAAACTCATATTTTTCGTGTCAGTACTAAAACGCCGAATACATCAATCCAGCTCATTCACCTACCGCAGCAGGTAAAATACAAAACGTAAATGTTACCCAATATAGCAGCACCAAATGTGATCCATGAAATAGTCTATGCAAATTCAAATTATGCAAGTAAGGCTTCTACGGGGACTGACTTCATCACTGTCTACGCTGTCAAGGACTGTAAAATTACAAGTGAAAAAAGAAAAAAAAAAGACACCCAGAATGACGCATTAGCATCATCAGACCAACTGCGCCCACTGCGGATCAAAGCCCCTCCCATCTTCCACCAATCAACTCGGTTCTGTGCTTGGTCCTCACCTGCCCACCTAATTGTCTGCCTCTTGCGCGTTTGTTTTGGAATCCTATCTGTTACTCTAAATGACCAACGGCTATAATGCCTACGAGCTACGTGCCCTACACATGTCCAATTCTCGTTGATTTTGACTGATATCCTTAACGTCCGTTTTTTTCCTTAGAACACGTACTCATCGCTACTTCAACACTACAAACTGGAGCGACGGGTGTACCCTCCACCCCATCCAAGACTAACTAAAAAAGAGAGCGTGATTTTCAGACGCCTACAAGCAACACTTACATACATGTCATATTAATGCACCGTATCTACCCAATGACACATGACTGCATGTGCCCGCTCTGCAGCGTACCAAACACCCTGGCACACTTCCTTCTGGAATGCCAGTGCCATGCAAACCACGACGTGCAACTGGAGCAGGACAGAGCCCCAAGAATAAACGACGACTACCTAATGGAAACGTGGGAGGCCAAGCTCGCCCTCGAGGACCTGGAAGACCAGCGACAACTCGTCGCCAGGGCCAAGAGGGCAGTCGAAGCCAGAGGGTTCCTGGACTAAGGAACGCTCCCACCTTAGGGTGACACCGGGCCTCACTCGGAACACTGTTTATAAATAAACGTTTATTTCTCTCTCTTTCTGACCCACCCAGCTGTCTTGTCTCTTAAGGTCGTACCTATGTGCACGTGCATCACAAGGTGATGTGCATGCATGCAACTAATTCATTTGTGTGCCAGACACTATAAGTTTAACACAAAAACAACACAGAAATAAACGAAACGCGACCGAAGAAACCATGCAAACGAAAAAGCGAATTCCGAGAAGCACACATTACACATCAGTTAAGGACGTCACTATGCATAATAAATACTTGCGATTAAACTAAGTGGAAGAAATTTCGGTCACTTTTTAAAAATGTAACCACAAAACAATCAAAGGTGGCTCGACGCAGCCTTTGCTGGTATCATCAAAAAAAGTGAGCGGGCCTAATTACGTTGTTTAAGCCACGCGTTAAGACACCACTGGCCTGTCTGGACGGAGTACTTGTCGCAAGCCAGTGGAATTCAGTAAACAACTGCAATTGTGCAATACAAAAACCAGCGCCTTGCACTCATTTCCATTCCATTTTAACTCCTTGGCACTTTTTCCATTTGCTTCTGTCTGAAAAAGCCAACTTGAATTTCCACACGGCGCAGAGTTTACCAAGTCACCAGGATCCGGGGTTAAAAGTATGCACGAATAATTGGGATATTTAGGCAGCGCCTCAAGACACCAGTTCGTCTGGCCAGTTTACTTTTTGCAATACAGTGGAACGCAATAAACAGCTCCAACTGTACAATCTAAAACAGTATATACATTGCGCAGGCGGGTCTATGTACGAAAAATACCGCATGTGAGCACATGTGTGTACATAGAATGAAACGTGTCGCAAAATGCAACCGCCAGAAAGACGAGTTATTTGTTAGTGAGGGCCTGTGAAGATGAAATAACACACTTATCACCAGGCTTCACAATCATCCCAGCTTCGGTTACTTTGAAAATGAGATGCGTTCTGCCACGGGTTAATATCGTCAAAGATTAAAGAAAGGTAAAAATTCAAAGTCTCGACAACAAATGGCCAAAAACCAAAGGTGCCCTTTCTTACACTGTTGTGGAGTTCGCGT